AATTGGCAATATACGTAACGTAGCGAAATCGTTTTGACTTTTGTCCCCAACTACGGTTCTAGACTTCTAGTTACGAATTATGATCGCCTTTTGTTGGTACTTTCAATAATATACAAAACTTGATTCAAATCAAATTATTTTAGAACTGAACCAGGTCCACTTGTGCTATAATAAAATAAAATTACTCGATGTTAAAATGTAAGAAATACAGTAATGCTAATATCGAGTAAGAAAGAGCGTAGTGAGGTTAGGAATTAGGGCACTGACATTAATGGAAAGACAACGACTCCACATTAACCTATAAAAGAGTACTAGATCCACTGTATATATCGAATTACTAATACTTAATTATAAATTGTTTCAAGTCAAATGTTGGGTTGAGATCCACGACACATGGTTATGTAATGTGGAACAATATGACTTATCGTTTTTTCTTGGTCTTAATATATAAGAGCAGATAATCAACTACCCATTTGCTTTGTGTGAAACGGATCTATCTATATTCTTGATTGTTCCATCTGTGTTTTATCATAAATGTTTTTTGTAATTTTTTAGTGGTTATTTATGTAATTATCAAACAAAGGTCAATGAAATTTGGAGGGGATGCACACGAGTTGAGAGTAGTTATAAAATAATTTGACTACTAAATAGTTCGGAGTTACTCACAAATCACAGTTAATATATACTCCTTTTACGCAAAACCGTACAAGATTAGGGTAATGCGCTATGTTTCCTCTTTTGCCGGTAAAGGGCAATTTCTCCGTTAAAATCCAAAACTATACAACTAACTAACTTATTGAGCAACATTTTTGACCAAAAATAACTTACGTAGTAAAATCTGGACCAGAAAAAGTGTTTTTCGTTACTATTATTATTTTTGGTTTTACAATTTTTAAACTCAATATATGATTTTCATTCAATAGCAAATTATTAGGCTTATCAACCTCAACAATGGGCTGTAGCCAAGTCGATGTAACGTAAGAAATGATGGAATGGAACCTAGTGAAAACTGAAAAGTAACTTTATTTGCTTATCTTTTGTGCATAACTTTTGAAACGTTTGGACCGTTTTGTCTCTAATAGATATTTGTTTTATTCTCTGAGTTGTCATCTATTCCTCTCTTCATCTAGTTACGTCTTCATAAAAATTTACAAAATTATTCTGTAAATTCGTAACAAAGATCTTCTTGAATAAAACACTATATCCAAAAACTATCAAAGATGTTTTACTTCACACTTTTTAAAGAGTTTTAGTTTATTATGCATATATAGACAACGGCGTCGTATACAAAATTCCTCGGTTAGTCGACTTCGGTTTACTCAAAAGTTATAACTTCAAACTATGTCGGTGTCTATTCCATCTTATATTTCTTAGCACAGAAAAATAAGTCGCATGTGACGACGACTTGAATCAATATAATCTTTTATTTGTTTAAGTTCTTCCTCTCTTTTTATTTTCTTTAATTTCTTCCTTTGTTTGAAAGGAATAGACTTCATTGAAAATAAAAATTCAGTAACAATTGTCTTGCTGGTGGTTAAAATGTAGCTCTAACTCTATGTGCTACTCTTTATTATTCTACATCAATCATCACCACACATTTTGTTTTCCTAATTATGATAGCTATGATTTTTCGTTGTTGGGTTTGTTCAGTTACAATCTTTTTAATCAACAATAAATCAATTTTTTTACGACCCGTTGTCTATTTTGATTGCTGTTTTACAATATCAAACGTCGGCATAATGATATTTAACGTTATCTATGCATTATTAATCACCTATCCAACGTCACTATTCCAATCTTTGACCTATGGACAAAAGTACATGTATAGATTCCAAAATTAAATTTTCTATCACACGATCATCACGTGTTTTAGATCCACAAAGCCAAATGTGTATCTGTGTATTATACACTCAAACAAAATTCCGATTAGTAACAAGTAGATAAAGAAAACCTAAAAGATACTTTGAGAATAAAAACTAAAAATCATCTTTAGCATCTCCATATCTAATTTCAGTCTTTAATTTTATCAAACTATTAGTTGTAAAAACGATATTTTTTCTTTAAATTTAATTTAACATTATATTTATAAAAAATCATTTTCATGTATATTGCACGCACAGAAAATCATATAGTCAATAAGTAAAGGCATTTTAGTTACCATTTGAATTCCTTTTTGTTTTGTTTTGTGTGCATAAACTTCAATAAATATATAGTGAAATCTTTGCATATTACACTATATGTTTGAATAAAAAAAAAGGGAATGGGAAATAGTAAAAGAGCACATGTGATCCAAAATTACACGATCCGTGAAGTTTTGTTTGTCACGGTCCGCCACAAACAAGAACTCGAATACTGTGCACTAACTTTCTTATCCACGTTTTATTCTTATCCTTGTACCCAAACATCTCCGTTTCGTAACGGATGTAACAGACACCGTCACATATGCCACGTCAGAACTATGGAGCCACCGACATGTAACCGCGTTTCAACATGGGACCCACTATTCCCCGTTTTATCTTACTTTTTTTCCCTCGGTATTTTGTTATTTATATGGAGCTGATCCAATAAATTCTGTTCAGACATTAGAATGCAAAGACGAATTGTTATTTTCGAATCTTGAGATAATCACCAATCATATTTTAAGGACATATACGTGTATGTGTGTGTTCACAAATAAATACGTACACACTACGATGGCATAGGATACGGCAATGAGAGCCGACGATTGTGTAATTAATTAACTTCTAATTTTTTGGCTGATTAAGAAACTTATTTTTCATGTTTATTTCGCATTTATTTAGCTAAAAGTGATTATATATATATATATACACTGGTCTAATCCGGTTGACTAAAACAACCAGTCCAGTTTTGATTGACATATAAATATGCACTCAATTTCATCTTATTATATGATTCAAAATTGTATTGTACATGAGTACATCCCGTTTCACGCAAAAATTCTAGTATTGTTAGTTTTGTTAATATTTATATTTCAGGTAAACTGTATGTTTCGTTATCTCTTCGTTTGTTTGTTTTGTTATTAGAATCATACATTTTCCCAAACACAATAAATTATAAATGTTAGATGGTACCTTGTGTCTGTTTGCATATTGGAAATTTGTGGAGCAACCTGATCCCTTCTTTAACATAGAATTTTAATCGTTGGCGATAACACTTTAACAATCATTTTCTGTTAACTTGCGAACCAAAATTATTAAGCAAAAACGGGAAATAAATTTTGAGTCATACTGCAGCAGATAGTAACAATGTTTTGGGGTTCTTGTTTTTTTTTTTTTTTTTGATTTTCTCTCTTGAAAATATATTTACGTGGCTTTATATTCGTAGGTTGTTTTATGTACGAATATAAGTAACAATATACTGTATTTGATAAAACTCATATTTTACGAGGCTTTATATTCGTACGTTGTTTTTATGTGATGATGCTATGTCAAATCATCCGTAGTATCTTTTTATTTGATGAGTACAAACATATACAACAAAATTGCAAACATATCATCACCACCCTTTTCCACTTCATTTAGGTACATGCAGATTTATAAATCCACTAAATAAATATGCATGAGTGATGAGCCATGAAACAACTCACTCGTCTTAAATTATACGGAATATAAGAAAAATTCAAATGAATTTACAATAAAATACAGCTTTTAAAGATCACATAAAAGTAGAAAATATTATCGTGAGTGGAATTTATAAAAGTACAAATTTTGCCTCGTATTGACACAATATTAACCTTATCGTGGTTGGCGTGTACAAGTGGGCAACTGGTCTCCTAATAATGCGTTTGGTAATAAATGATCGAATTCTTATAAAGAAATATCTTTTTTGAAAACATTATTAGTCTATGGATAAGAAGATAAATTATAATTAACCAAATCGATGAGTGTAAAAAACAAAACCCAATCGATGACATATTTTTTCTGAAGAAACTCGTCATTTTTTTCCTTACCTGAAAAAGCCAAGAAGGGACGATCACTCGTTTTCTTGCGAGAGGAACTTGGCCTAAACCTACCATTTTTTTTTTCTCATGGAATTTGACCATGTGTTTTTGTCGTTCTTTAACCAGTCCAAATTTGATGAATAAAACTACAAAGTCAACATTTTACACATTCAGATCTGCATCTAAAACACATATTCAGTCCTGCACATATTGTATCTATTTTATTCATGATTTGTTTTTTGGTCCTAATCATTATGTTTTTTTTCCACAAAACTTTATGATGTTTATATAAATTCCATTGACGCTATAAAACAATCTCGATACATCTACCTTAAAAAGATCAATTAACTTTGAATAGTATATAAAGAAAAACACTCCCCGTAAAAAAATCATTAACTACCGACAAAATAACCTTTAGGAAATCTCATGTTTGACCTACCACATATTTTTCTACCGGTTCAATTTACTACTCCATATATTAGTAAGAATATAATTAACGAGCATCTTCTAATTCTTATTATTATGTCAACTACTAACTAAACTTTATTATTTTGTCAACTACTAGTATAAATCATCTTCTAATTTTTCAGTCGAATTAGTGAAATTTTAATTAAAAGAGTCCATTTCTCAATAAATATTTGTTTTTATGCACCGCCAAGATTTCATAAGAAGAAAGAGAGAGAAAAAAAGGTAAAAAATAGAAATAAAACAGAGCGTGAAGTTAATACCGATTATAGTAGTAATTACTAATTAGACATGTACCCAAGGGAAGCTTCTCTTCTTTCTCCCCCCATTAAATACGCTCATCACAACTAAACATAAACCTTTATTCAACGTCCAGAGATTCCACTCATTTTTCTCTCTTTCTTTTAATTTTTTTTTCTTTTCTTTATACCCAAAAAATGGTAACGGAGCTTGACAACGGAAGTGTTTCTTAAATCATATAAACAAATTTAAGGTTTTTTTTTTAATCTTTGTTTAAATAATTCAGTTTCTCACGAGCTGTGTCGAGATTGGATCCATACAAAATCTGCACGTCGCCTGCTTCTTCACTCTCTCCCACTGTTCCAGCTTCTCAAGTCCCAGAAATAGAGAGAAGGTTGAAGAAGATAATCTGATTAGTGTTATCGAAATTCCAAATTTATTTTTCTTAAGGGAAAGCTCCAGATTTAATCGTTTGTATATACAGTACTCACCTTCAACGGAGAAAAAAAGACAAGGTTTTTGCGTCTTCTTCCTCACTCTTTTCTCTTCATTATTGTCGGATTCATCTTCTTTCTTTCCCCTAATTTCTGGATTAATTTGAGGGTCGGTGGGGTTTTTTGTCCAATTTTTCTGGGTTCTCGTTCGATTTCGATTTCCACGAGACAAACCCACGAGCTCAGAATTCGTGGATCTGTTGCAATTTTGTTTAGAACGCGTGATCTCGAGTTTCAGAGATCTTTGATTTATCCAAAGCTTTAATTTTTATAATCTGATGGACTTGTTTTTTTTAATTTTTAACAGGGATCTTCGATTTATAGCAACAAAAATGTCAATGCCACTACAACGTGGCATCTCTGGAGTACGAGTTTCTGATAGCAGTGATGATTTGAGTGACTCTCAAATGAAAGACAAAACTGAAAGACCTCGTTCTTCTGATAACCACTTAACCTTGAGGTTTCCTTTTGGTTTCCTCTTTAGTAATCAATCTTCTTCCAAGCACAGTGGCGGCGAAAACGGTTTTTTCTACTGATCCATATAGTGCAAGAAGCAGGCACAGATTGATGTTGATGTTTCTTAAGATAAGTTTGGTTCTTATTGTGGTTATTGCTCTTGCTGGATCTTTCTGGTGGACCATTTCCATTTCGACTTCTTCCAGAGGTCATGTATATCACAATTATAGGAGATTACAGGAGCAGCTTGTTTCTGACTTGTGGGATATTGGGGAGATTTCTCTTGGTCCTAATAGGTGGAAGGAGCTGGAATATTGTAATATAGAGTCTGAGAATTTTGTTCCTTGCTTTAATGTTTCTGAGAATCTTGCTCTGGGTTACTCCAATGGTGATGAAAATGATCGGTTTTGTGGGCCTGGATCAAAGCAAGAATGTTTAGTGTTACCACCGGTGAAATATCGAGTTCCTCTTAGGTGGCCGACTGGTAAAGATATCATCTGGTATTCTAATGTTAAGATTACTGCTCAAGAAGTTGTGTCTTCTGGTAGCATAACCAAGAGGTGATGAATCGTTGCTTCTTTTGGTTCTCTCTTGCTAAAGTTGACTGGTTTCATTGCTAAGCCTCTTTTTTGTCTTTTTTTTTCAGGATGATGATGATGGAAGACGATCAGATATCTTTCCGGTCAGCATCTCCTATGTCTGATGAGGTTGAAGACTATTCCCATCAGATCGCTGAAATGATCGGGATTAAGAAGGATAACTTCATAGAAGCTGGTGTAAGTCACACCCATTCAAAAGAGTCAATCTTTATCTATCTCATCAGTTCAGTTTCTGATTTTGCTATATTCCTTTTAATACTGTTTCAGGTGAGAACTATCTTGGATATTGGATGTGGTTATGGTAGCTTTGGGGCACATCTATTGTCCAAACAGATTTTAACCATGTGCATAGCAAACTACGAAGCCTCGGGTAGCCAAGTTCAGCTAACACTTGAAAGGGGTCTCCCTGCGATGATTGGCTCTTTTATATCAAAGCAATTGCCATATCCTTCTCTTTCCTTCGATATGTTGCATTGCTTAAGATGTGGCATTGATTGGGACCAGAAAGGTAACAATTTAATGACTCCCCAGAATGATTTTCCTCATGTCCTTAACCCGATGGAGGACCCAACTTTACTGTTTCAATCTGCTGTGTAGATGGGCTTCTCCTTGTAGAAATTGACAGGGTTCTCAAACCCGGTGGTTACTTTGTATGGACATCTCCGCTCACAAACCCTCGTAACAAGGATCATCTTAAAAGATGGAACTTTGTTCATGATTTTGCTGAAAGCATCTGTTGGACTCTTTTAAATCAGCAAGACGAGACAGTTGTCTGGAAAAAGACAATCAACACCAAATGTTATAGTTCCCGGTCAGTGATGCACACACACCACTGTTGTATTACAGAATCTGCATATGGTTACATATATGGCTATTTATTAAGTCGTCTAAAAATGGATACTTTGTCTATAAACAGGAAACCTGGAGTGGGCCCTTCTGTGTGTACCAAAGGACACGATGTCGAGTCTCCTTATTACAGGCCTCTTCAGATGTGTATTGGTGGAACACGTAGCCGGAGGTGGATTCCCATTGAAGGCAGGACAAGATGGCCTAGCCGGTCTAACATGAACAAGACTGAACTTTCATTATATGGTTAGTCTCCTTAGTTACAAAATTGCTTCTGAATCCATATATCTGCAGTTTTTGTTATCTCATTTTTGATTCCTGGGGTTGGTTTAGGTCTTCACCCCGAGGTGCTTGGAGAGGATGCTGAGAACTGGAAGATAACTGTGAGAGAATACTGGTCTCTCTTGTCTCCTCTGATATTCTCTGATCATCCAAAGAGACCCGGCGATGAAGATCCATCACCGCCTTATAACATGCTCAGAAACGTATTGGATATGAATGCTCAATTCGGTGGTCTCAATTCCGCCTTGTTGGAAGCAAGGAAATCAGTCTGGGTCATGAATGTGGTCCCTACAGCTGGACCTAACCACCTCCCCATGATCCTTGACCGTGGCTTTGTCGGAGTTTTGCATGACTGGTCAGTCCAAAAGTCTATTGGATTTTCCTCTTTAGCCATAGAATTGTTTCTGAACATCTCTTTTCCTTCAGGTGTGAACCATTCCCGACTTACCCGAGAACATATGACCTGGTACATGCAGACAATCTCTTGTCACTTCAGACAAGCCAGCGCCGAAAATCATGTCAACTTATTGATATATTCACAGAGATTGACCGATTGCTTCGTCCAGAGGTACACATTTGTTTACTTTGGAAAGAACATTATTGTGTTCTTGTAGTTCTGGTAGCTATAATAAGAAAAAAACTTTTGTACAGGGATGGGTGATAATCCGTGACACCGTGCAGCTGGTGGAAAGCGCGAGAGCGTCAGTAACGCAGTTGAAGTGGGAGGCTCGAGTAATAGAGGTTGAAAGCAGCAGTGAACAAAGACTTCTCATCTGCCAAAAACCATTCACCAAGCGACAATCAATCTGAAGAAGAAGAAGAACATAGACACAGGTTTTTCTCCACCTTTTTTAATTTTTTGTTCCAATGCCTCACATTTTGGTAATCAATCATCCAACTTGTGTTGGCGATACGGGGAAGAAAGGAGGAAGAGATGAAATATATATCCCGCCGGGGACGTAAGACCGCCGGTGAAATTTCTTTATCTGGTTTCGTTAGTTCCCATTTTACAGAATCTAGATTTTTTTTTTTTACAACTTTGGTTCTATAACTCTTATTATACAGCGAAAAAAAGAATATGATTCATATTTGTGAAGATGTTTATGAAATAAAGTTTAAAGCTCTTTAGTAAATTTTCACTGCTTTGGTTAACCAGATCCGAGCTATTTATCCAACATTGTACCGTACCGGAATTAAAAGTGTACAATTCTATTCGAAATTGATTAGTCTAGGAAAAAAAAACTCCAAACCGGACGGAGTACATTCGGTTTGTTTTTGGTTTTACATGTTTCCACGAACCGAAACAACTGGAAACACACAAATTCGTCCATGAGAAACAGATGTTGTATTTTCAAAGATGAGAGCAACTTGGAGAACATAAATGGTCCTATGGTGGATATTTTTGCAATTTGCATTGGCCAATTCATAAGATAAGATTCATAAAAGAAAAAAATGAAATATCAATGTAATGGTGACTCTGTAGCTGAAGTTTTTCTTAGCTGATGTCGGCTTCTGCTATTGGATACACGTCCCTTTCCAATGTGGCCTCGGTGGTGAACGCTAGGGGAGGCTGATCCCACAACTTTTTTGGTGGATGTTCTTTTGCGCCTGTGGTGCAAAGAATCTCCACCACCAAACGCAGCTCTCGCTACACTATCTTTGAGTACTTCCCTGGCTCGTTGTGGCTTGATGAGCTGCTTGTTAAGATAAACAAGCTTAGGGAGAAGGCTGGAGACGGTCTTGCGTAGCTGGTCCTCGCCTACGTTACTCTGAATCGGGTTTCCGAGGATGTTCAAAGCGACAAGAGAGTTGTAGTTGGCAACAAGCTGGCCTATTGCTTTGGTGGTGGCGATCTTGTTGAAGCTAAGATCAAGAACGATAAGTTTCAGCAATCTGTGTAAGCCTTCTACATTGCTGATCTTGTTCCCAGCTAGGTATAGTTCTTTGATCAGTGTACAGTTTGATAAACCTGATCAATAGCTTTTGGTTAAGCCAGGGAAACAAACAAGCATTCTATGAATATAATTCTGCTTAACGACTGCAATCTTACCTTGTCCAATGCGAGAAATTCGGTTGTAACTGAGATCGAGTACTCTTAGGCGTGTCAAATCTCTCAGTCCTTCGATAACACTGATCTTGTTCTTGGAAAGATTCAACGCGTGCAAGCCCTTTGGAAGCGATGCAGGAGTAATTTGAACTGCAGTGAACAGAACAATGTCTAGTAAGCAACATACACACTTTTAAAAACAGAGAACAATGTCTAGTATCCAAAAGTGTGTACCTATGAAGTTGTTTGAAAGATCAATCGACTTGAGGCTGGTAAAATGTGAGATGCCCGGGATAGCTTTCAAGCCGACACTCGAAATGTGAGCCACGCTCGAGGATTTGCTCATCGACTGGATAAGGCTATTTGCGTGCACTATAGCCTCTGAGACATTTCCGGACTGAACCACATTTCCTAAGGGTGATCTCTCTGTATTGGGAGAGGGTGGGAAGCTGGCCAAGACGTCTTTATCCTCGTTTATGGGTACTGCGGTTTCAACATCGAGTCCTCTTACCCACTCGTCCACTCGCTTCATCGAAGATGATTCGGCAGAGAACGCTACCCACTGATTATGACGAGGCCACAAGTTGGATGATTGGTTGGTGAAATCAGCGCAATTGTTTGTAGATTCTTCTTCATGGCTAGATTGGTTGTGCTCAGCAAAGTCAGAGGTGTATCCAGACTGATGGTTCTTGTTTAAAGTCTGTGACTTTAGCGAAACACGGTGTTTGTGAAGGTTCCTATGGCTCCAGAGGAACAATTTCCACCAGAGCCGCCGGCTACCCGAAGGAAGTATCTGCATCGACGAGTGTTTCTTGAGCATCACTCTATCTGCACTTTTATGGGACTTCACTGATTCATTACTAACTGGAACGGTCTCTCTCAGGTCATGGAGATCAGAACCATGAAACCGGCCATTGAACTTGCTGAGAGTGGAGCAAGATCGTTTAAGCTTAGGAGAAGTCACCCAAGACGTGGCTCTGCCTAATCCGGGATCGCTGACGTGACCTCCTTCGTCATCGTCATCATTGCCGTTTTCAGAAGTATCTGTGACTTCCTCCTTGCTTTTCAGAGATTCAACGGCTCGTTCATGAACTTGGAATTCAGGAAACTCACGGTTCGTTGAGTCCTGGTCGTCATATGACTCGTGCTTGATAGGACTGTCCTTGTCGTAGCCAGCGATGTTAGGCTCATCATTCTCGAGAGGCTTCACTGGCTCTTCAAGTCTGATCTGAAGGATTCTCTGCGTTTTCGGAGGCAGAGGTTTTGAATTCCCCTGTTTCAGTAAACAGAGAACGAGTTCAACGCAAAATCTGATTCGCCGGAATATTAACAAGAATAATACCTAAACAGTAAATACGTTACCTTATTTTTCTTTCTACGAATCAATCCAGCAAAGCATGGTAATATCTTCATTTTGTGAACACACTCAACAAAATCCCTTAGGAAAATATTAAAATTATCCGTAATCTATTGGAAGTTGCGAGAGCACCAAATCGATGAATTTAAGAGAAGAAATAACGCCGGAAAAAAAGGAAGCACTTCTTGATCCGACCACCGCCGAATCCGTTGATGTGTCGGCCAGAGTTAAAGATTGCCCTACTTGTTTTAAATTCTGTTTCACCAATACAAACGACCTCAGCCACTAAAACAGAGAAGAAGAAGAAAAAAAACAGAGGATAGAAGAAGAGGAAGAATGAAATGGACGGGTTTATGACAGAACATGCAAAAGAGCCACATGTGACTTAAATCTAATGGTGTTTTCGTTTACTCTTAAAGACAGAGAAAAAGATGTGTGTACGTATTTATTTATTTATTCTTCACTTTCAATTTTCAACCAGAATTTTACTATAATAATATTATTCATTCCATACATTTTCTAAAACTTTATAGTATTTCAGTCTATGTGTCTTTTATGCATTTAAGATTAAGGAGACTAGCTAAGTATGAATCCGCGGCTAATACACGGACTTTCTTATTTATATATTTCTTCCCTATTATAAATTTATAATGTTTGAATAATAATCGCAATGCATTGTAGAAACATGATTAGTTGGAGGCAACAAAATCAATTAAATACACTAATAAGCAGAGAAATATGCGATGTTTCTGTATTAAATCCAAACTATCATATATACTGTATATATATTGACATCAGATTAGTATTTTTCTAGTGTATTTTATAACAAAATTTAAAGTAGTAATATATATTAATGTGCTGAAGTTTGAAAGATTTGAAATAAATTGTGATGGATTTTGAGTGTAAACTTTTAGGTACTAAAATCCAAAATATCATCTATATATTATAACTGATAAATTCTTATACGTTAGATTTTTAAAAACTCATACTTTTTGTTTTTGATATATGAAATTTATACGTATCCTCCTCATATATTAGAAGGAATAATAAATTCTATAGCAATTATGAGATGTTTTCTTCTCTAAATAGTTCAAAAGAAAAGACAAAACAAATGAAGAGAGTAGTAGAGAAATAAGAGAAGGTAATGTAAGCATCAGATCCGGTTTGTTGCGTCCGGTAGCCGCAAGTAACGACGTCCATCAAACTCTCTCCTGCTTTGTAGTCCACCCAATCTCACATGGACTCTTATGTCTCCACTCAATCCTGGCCGTCGATGTCAGATATCTACGGGTCCCACCTTCATAGACGCAGCTGTTTTTGGGCTTATAGATGACGTGGTTACATCTCATTGGTAGCAGACTATATCCATGTAATGGTCCCTTATGTCGTGTAACATGCTCCAAAGCGACTCAACTCAAATCATTTTTTTTTTTTTTTGAACAAACAACTCAAATCATTTAGAACAAAATAAAACAACTCACACATGACAACATTATTGCAAGAATATAATTACTTAAAATATATATATAATTACTTTGAAGCTTATATTATATAGTTATGCAGTATACATTACACAATCATACTGTTTTTTTTAATAATAATTTTCGATTTTAAAAAGTGTAAAATTTTGAAAATGATAAAGAAAATCAGGTTCCAATTAAAATATATATATATATATATATATATATATACTCCATTACTGTACGAAGACAAAAGAATCAGATATCAGATATACAACATATTTACTTTATAAATTTTTAGTGCTTTTTCCTTACGGAAAATGACATTCCTTTTTGTTTCTAGATTCCTTTTCATTTTCTGACGAAAAAAATCATGAAACTTGGCACACATCATTATTCGTTAATCACTACAAATTTATTAATTTAATACAAACGGTTATAAGAAAAATAAAAACAAAAAGTGGACGTAAGCGATATGAAGTTGAAAATACATGTTGTCTTTGTTTGCAAGTATACGTGTCGTTACAAGTTACGTTTAACATACTAAGGAAAAAATATCTACTAACATTTTGTTATGTTATCTCCACAAATAAAACCTTATTAGATTTTGGAGAAATGGAGCAATAAACTAAACAATATTGATGAAAAAAAAAAAAAAAAAAAAAAACTAAACAATATTATAAAAGAATGGGTCCAACTCCAACCTAAAGATAGTACGGACGACTTGCCTCATCGATTATTTTGAACAGAATAAAATTTCAACACTTATATATAAAAGCTTATACATTAAGTCATTAAGAAAATTTTATAAATAAAAATAAAATAAAAAATCCTCGTATGGTTGCATATATATATATTCAGAAATCAGAATTGACTCAGTCGTTGAGCAACTAAAATGTCGTCGTATTGGTTGCTTTTATTTGGGTTATAAGTTTTGGGCTTTTAAAAGGCCCATAATATCGTGCAAGTATATGGACTTCTCCACCTACGTGTGCCTATCTTCTTTTACTTATGTTTTCTGTAGAATTAATTTCACATGCATCCTATCTTAATATATTTTTCTAAATATTTCAGTTTACATTTATGAAAACAAAATATCTAGATATATTCAATTCAAATGTAATTAGTAAAACATATGTCGATATATTGTTCATTTTACAAAAATACATATCTCTATATCTTTCTTTGTTTTTCCTTTAATATATTACAATCCATATTTTTTTTTGTTAATCCTTTATTACAAAATTTGTAGTATCTTATTTATTTTATTTTCCTTAATACATTGTTTATCATCTAATATACGAGATCTACGTCGACACATAATTGGATTTCAACAATCCATATTTTATCACCACATCCACATATATATTACATTTCTATCAACATCGAGCATCCCTTAATTCACATAAGAAACAAAGACCGAGAGAAATTGGAGATCAAAGTTATGGAGAATGAGAGAGAAAAGCTGATCTATTTGGCTAAGCTCGCCTGCCTAACTGGAAGATACGATGGTATATATATTCTCACATATTTGTCCTTTTCAAAAACAGATAGTTGATTTTGGTTTAAACTATAGTATATTGGGAATTCTTTAGGAAGTTGATTATCAAATTGGCTTATGTTTTTTTCATCTTGTCATCGATCAATCAAAGGTTGTAGAGTTTGTTTCAAAAAAAAACTTATGGTTACTCGGATCCTATGATTGCAAACGAAGTTAGCTCTCTTACAAACAAAGTTATCTCTCTTAGCAATGCATAGAATTACTCTTGTGTACGAAGAAATCATTGTAGCAACTTTATCCATCTTTCTATAACCTCATAAGGAGTAATTAAACGGCTAATTATTGAATCTTTTTCAATTGAAATTGTTGTGCCAGATATGATGAAATCAATGAGAAAAGTATGTGAGCATGATATAGAGCTAAGTGAAGAGGAAAGAGACCTACTAACAACTGGGTACAAGAATGTCATGGAGACTAAGAGAGCTTCATTGAGAGTGATATCATCCATTGAAAAAATGGAAGACTCGAAAGGAAACGACCAAAATGTGAAATTGATAAAAGGACAACAAGAAATGGTTAAATATGAGTTATTCAATGTTTGTAATGACATTTTGTCTCTCATTGATTCTCATCTCATACCATCAACTACTAATGTCGAATTAACTGTCCTTTTTAACAGAATGTAAGTCATATTCCGTTATCATCATCATGATCATCTTTTTTTTTTTTGGTTTTTAAATCTTTTTGTTAAATTGTTTCTTGGTATATGTAGGAAAGGAGATTATTTTCGATATATGGCAGAGTTTGGTTCTGATGCTGAACGTAAAGAAAATGCGGATAATTCTCTGGAAGCATATAAGGTCCTCTTTCAATCATGGTTTTCCCTCAACTTTAATATTTTATTTTGTTATATTTTCTTCCATATATTAGTTTGGAAAAAACATGGAAAAGACATGAAAAAAACATACACTTTATAGGTTGCAATGGAAATGGCAGAGAATAGTTTAGCACCCACCAATATGGTTAGACTTGGATTGGCTTTAAACTTCTCGATATTCAATTATGAGATCCTTAAATCTATTGAAAGGTAATATCACATTTGCTTAATAATAAAATAAGTGCGGTGTTTAAATAAAAGATGTATATTTAACTATTTATATTTTCATTGCCAAGTAATTTTAAACGAATAATTTTTACAGTTTTTTTTAGTATCTAATAGTAATTATGTGAATTTATACAGCGCATGTAAATTGGTTAAGAAAGCTTACGATGAAGCAATCGCTGAACTCGATGGCCTTGACAAGAAAACATGTGAAGAGAGCATATATATCATGGAGATGCTTAAATACAATCTTTCTGCATGGACTTTATGAGATGGTAATGGTAATATACGTTTAGTTCGCAGTGAAAGTATTTTAAACTTTTTCTTTCATGAGCTATTTTTTAAACTAATTAAAATTGTAATTTTTGCAGAACTATTGGATCTTGAAATCCCGAAAAACAAGACAAACGATTAGAACATGTCTTTTGAGACGATGAAGATAAATCATTGGTCGTGATTAACTAGAAGGTTTGATTGTTTACAGAACTCAATTAGTCTTTGTGCTTTGGTTTGGTTGGGTCAAAATGTGTGAATGATATATTGTTAAATTTATTTTTATATAATTTCTAATAAACATTGTTGAACAAATAATGCATTATATTGGCTATTATTATTAACTAAGTAAGTAGTAGACAATAAAATCGTACGGTAAAGTAATATCGAAACTAATATGAGTTACGGTAAATAAAGGCTACACTTACACATGGTAGAATCAATTCCTAGTTTTTTTGGGAACTTTTTATTTCGTAATGAAAATATATGGAAAAAGTTGTATTGATTGATTCTACACGATCGATAAACCTGAACGAAACAAATAAAAATATTCCGTTATGAATAATTGTTCATCTATCCTAGTTAAAGAAGTATGAGTGGAGCAAAATTATTCATCTATCATTTTCATTCCTTTCATTTCCATTTTATTCATAAAGTTATTCCACACAATTGTGATCGGCACTAATTAGTTATAGAACTTTGTAAAAACATAGCATAACAAATGGAAGCCACGTCACTTTGTAAAATATGAAGCCACGTCACTAATAACTTGATACATGCAAATTACATTTAAAATATTGTAGTCATAAGTAAGCTATACCAACATATCTACCAATTTGTCTTCAATTGGTTGTCCTCGTAACCTGTCCTTAACTCTAATTAAAATTTGGTCAGCAATTGATGTACATATAACGATACGCTTAAACTGAGGAAGTGAAAAAATGTTTTTTTTTTGTCATTCTTCTAGAGTATTGGTAGATTCAAGACTCTTCAAACTTTGACAAAGAAAAAGACTCTTTTAACCGAAATTGACAAAGCTTTCTAGTTTCTTCTGTCTTTCGCAAGTCGTCTATATAATTTTGGGTCTTCAACATCTTGGTCTCATTCTAATAGGAACCCATTCTAATACTTTTCTTTTTAAAAAAAACTTGAAAATTATGTCAGATACTCGAATTTAATTTCCCAACCTACGCACTGTCACAACCTTATGTTCACATTAAAGACTAACCACGTGCCTTATCGATTTCAGATACAAATATTTTTGTAACATTGGTGCCATCTACTTTTTATCACAAATAAATAACATTTGATTGTACCGCCAAATAAAGACAATACATTCATTAGGTCACACATAACATATTCATATTCGTTTTTTCCCAAGATATCGAAAATACTCAATAATCAAGGGTGTAGTAAAAAAAATCTTATTTCTCTTACTAATAATAATATGTACACATGCAATCTTTTGTAATACAAATAGATACTATATGAATATAACAAAGTTATAAAAAAACAATTTACGAGCAACGATAAAAACGTTTCCTTTTTCTTTTCTCTTTACACAAATAAGAAATTCGTAAATTATTTAAAATTTTTACATGTGATGCGACTCCACTGTTATAACTTATAACCACATTTCAATTAGTCTCTGTCAATTTATTACTAGTATTAATAATAAAATGTGCTCATTCGTAATAAATCTCCCAACCAATACCAGAGAACCAAACACAACACACCACAATATCTTTCAACTCAAAATCTTTTTCTTTCTTGTATCCTCACTTTTTTATTCTTTTGTAATGACAGGTTTCTTTAGCTTGTCTCAAGCAATAGAACGAACTTACAAATCCGGTTTCAAAAGATCCGGTCTACGACCCGTAACCATCGATTTGAAAGATGGAACCGTAGTCAACTTTTGGGTATCCAAAACCCAACCCGAGTCCAAACCCAAACCTAATCTCCTCCTCATCCACGGCCTCGGAGCTACTGCCATCTGGCAATGGTACGACGTAGCTCGACGTCTCTCTCGTCATTTCAACCTCTTCATCCCCGACCTCGTCTTCTTCGGCGGATCCTCCACGACCCGACCCGAAAGATCCGATATCTTTCAGGCCCAAACACTCATGCGGGCCTTAGAAGCCCAGTCCGTGAAAAAATTCAGTCTCGTCGGTCTTAGCTACGGTGGATTCGTGGGTTATCGGATGGCGGCGATGTACGCAGACGCCGTGGAGAGAGTTGTGATATGCTGCGCCGCCGTCTGCGTGGAGGAGAAAGATATGAAAGCTGGCGTTTTCAAGGTGTCGGATCTTGATGAAGCTTCGAAGATTCTTGTACCGGAATCTGTGAAAAAGCTCCGGGAACTTATGGGTTACATATTTTACAAGCCGGCGTTGGCGAGACTGGTTCCTACTTGTCTTCTCCATGATTTCATCGAACATGTGAGCTACTTTCTTCTTTTTTACTTCTTCAACCAAATCATATTGCGACACGTGTCTATATGTCTTAAGAACATATACGATACAAAAAAGCGAAAAGAAGAAAAAGTTATTTAAATGATGGAAATCTAGTAAGTGCGAATATAGTTTAGAAATAGTAAGATTTGAACTTTTAAAGATTCTGATATCTGTTTGAAGATAATGTACTTATATTTGTCAACTTGTAATTCAAAAGAAAAATTGTCTGGTTGGTTTGTTTTTGTCTTTTTGAAGAATTTCTTAATTATTATATGGGTTCGTTAGATCTATCAACATATTTTCATTTTCAGAGATCTTAAATGATTTATTTGGTAGTTATTTATTGAATGAAACGGTAAAAATGAGTAAACTTTATATATTCGTGTACCAATAAGAAGAGTTGTTTTGTATTTCTTTTTAATATTGAAGTAAATATTCTTACTTGATGAAAAAAAGCTAAACAATGTGAAACGAAAACAGGCTTTGACAAGAGATAATATGGAAGAGAAGAGAGAACTGATCAAAGCCATACCAAAAGACAGAATAATCTCAGAGATTCCAAAGCTCACACAGGTTAAATCTTTTTCCTCCCAAATTCGTTATAAATCTTCACTCTTATAAATGTAATTAACGAGTTTTAATTCTATACAAATGAATGCAGCCTACATTGATAATATGGGGAGAGCATGATCAAGTGTTCCCATTGGAGATGGGCAAGAGACTTAAGAAACATTTAGGAGACAATGGGAAACTCGTTATCATCAAGAGAACCGGTCATATCTTTAATTTCGAGAGACCCAAAACGTTTCTTAAACATCTCAAATCTTTTCTCTTGGAGACTAACCCACTGCAGATTCCTATCTCTAATGGCAGTGTTTGATTCTTATTAGTCTCAAGTTTTGAGTTTCTTCTCATGTATCCTCGAAACTTTATTAACATATATCAATTCACGTTTCAACTTCGTTAATTATTTGTATTAAAATGCTAAAAATTTCTTAAATCAATTTTGTTATCCGGAAGAAAAAAACTTGGAATTTTTAGATGCTGATCAAAAGAAATTATCAATTTAGCACAAACAGACTTTAAACTTTGAATACAGGATTATCTAGATTGGATAATCATGATTTGGAATCTTTTAATACACAAGATTTTACTTTAAACATCGGTTTAGTACCAACGCTTGCGATGCTTTGAAACGACTTAGGATGCTCATGAATTTCAATCTCACACGTAACCGCAGTTTAATTCATTTATTTAGTCGCGTTCACCACCATCATGTTTTTTTATCATGGAAATCGCAAGAGCAAAAACTTTTCATTATAGAAGGAAAAATTATGTACCAAAGAGAGGGATAATCAGCAAAGAAGGAGGAAACAACTCCGCAAATTATAAAAATCCCTCTCATAATGGCGAATTGATATGTGCCTCCAGAACAAAGCTAACAAGTACGGATCTTGCTGCTGAAAGAAGAGGCATTTTTCTCTTACTCAAAAATCAACCCATAAACAAAGAAAACAAAAACCCCTAATTGCTTAAACTAACATCAACGATATAAAACAACTGAAAGATAACAAATCGGCTTTGAGAACCATCAAGAATACGATTTTGCAAACAGGTAAGAGCATTAGTATATATAGTGGCCGCCTCCAGTTTCTTGCTTCAGAAACCCTAATTTCCCTTTAGGTCTACCATTTTATGGGCCGATATGGGCCTTTTCATTAAAGCCCAGTAAGTAAGCCTGGCTGATATGAATGCATCTATTATTCTGAATGATTGTTTGTTTATTTTCTGTTAACATAGATTAATGAATCAATAGATAAACTATCCATGACTGACTTCAAGAACAAACTGAAACCATTTAAAATCAACTATTTTTTCATGTAATTTTTATGATATAACTCATCTGGTTTGTCAAACTAGTATAATATAATAATATTCCTATTAAACTGCTGTTCTTGAAAATGCACAAGTAACCAAGAACCAGATCGAACTAAACCGGACCCCAAAATAATCATGGTGAAGCAAAAGCAAGCTCCAAATCCAATATAAGCTGCGTCTTCTTGGTTATCATCTAAACCGGACAACAATGCAAGATATATCATCCTTACTGTTTCTTTTCAATGCTTCAGCAACTACTTGCCTCGCCGCTTCCTTTGGATCTTTCAACTTCTTAGCTATGTCAACTGCTTCTTGGTTTGACATCACCTGTTCAATAAGTTTCAACAAAATGATTCCCATTAATCACTTCCATTTGTCAAATCCAGACTAACTAGTAATCTTCAACCGCAATTTCACCTTCGAAATACCGTCACTAGCCAGAATAAGAAAATCTGTGTGACTATCAATGGTGACATCCTTAATGTCAGGCTCTGAGTTCAAATATGCTTTGAGGTTTTTGTCACCAAAGACGCGAGAGACCGCTAACAAACCGTTCACTCGAGGAACATCTCCTGTTCAATTCACAAACATCAGAATCATCCTTATATATAATAAGCTTATATAATGATAGATCAGTAAAACCTGTTCCTAACCTGGTCTGTTGGTTACAAATCCACCTTTACTCTCAATCATACTCCTCTCAGTATCATCATCAGGATCATGATCTACACTCATCTGTTTTGCTTTACCTCGACTAGAAACAATAGCACGCGAATCGCCAACATTAGCTACCCACAAAACTTTCCCATTGATCAAAATCGCAGTCACAGCAGTCGAACCGCCACTCTCTAAATCCGTTCTATTATCTGCTAAAATCATTTGGTCTGTATTCTCATAAGCTTTCGCAATTGCTCTTCGAGGATCAACCAAGAACTCTCCCTAGAAGAAAAAAATCAACACAATATACTTATCTATCTATCACACTAAACACAACACACACAAAAAGCAACAATCTTTAATTAAACTTACATCTTTAAGGATATTAGAGAAGAGATGTTTCTGCAAATAAGCAGCTACACTATCACCTTTATGACCATCAAAGATTGCAAAAAGCCCCAATTCATTGCCATTGAAATTCATAAACTTAGCAACATGATAATCCTCCATTGAATGGTCAGATTTCCCCTTTATCAAACTAAACCCATACTTGATTCTTCCTTCACCGTTTCTTCCTTTACCCGAGTTTGATTTTTGTGCTACCACAACCTAAACACATTAACAAAGATCACCAAAAAAAATCCAGAAAAACTCTGATAAAATGAAAAAAGTTTGGATTATTACTTGTGTAGCGGAACGAGAACAGCAGATCTTGGGCATTTGGATTCTGAATTAAATCTGCGAAATTTGCGAATTTGAGTCTAGAAAATGGAAGCAAGAGACGAAATTGAAGAGAGAAATGAGAAGTAAAACCCTAAGTTGGTTCGATTTCCGCAAATGATCAAATTTGACGACGAAGCTTTGGCTCTCCTTCGTTAATGTCGTTTTCATAAGAGAAATTTATATCCACTGAAATTAAAATTAAATAATTCTGGTATGGTTTTCATGAATTAGTTTTTTAGTTCACACCAAATCTAACGTTATTAGCTATTTTGCATGCTTTTACTTTGGTAACTGCTTAAACACAAATGCATACAATTACTTTTTGGTAATATAATAACATCTTAGTCCAACTAATAATAATTTGGGAAGCAAATGAGGTAATTGTTTTATTTTTGATTTTGTTTTAGATAATTTGCTTTATTTATTTATTTATTTATGAGTATACAAATATTACAATCTATAGTAGTAATATTTTGTATATAAAATTATAATGAAAAATTTAATTGATAAATTGATATACACAACAGCAAATCAACAATTTCCCATGAAATTTTCCAAATATTGAAACTTTATTACATTTTCCAATTGTTTCTATCATTTCGATTATTTTTTATTTAAGATAGTCAACGGTTGACTGTCAACCATGATAGACTTGGAGACTTTACTGATCTTCTTGTATGGCCATACTAGATAAAGCCCATTTACAAAACTTAATCATACTCATAAAAAGCTCGCAAGTCCATTAGGGTACTATCGTTAGCTACCAAGACACTTTCGTCTTCCTCGCGCGTCTCTTGCTCGTTGTAGAGAGAACGAGAAAGATGAGGTTGATAGTGCACAACATGTTGTCTTGCAACATTAAAGGAGTGGTTAACAAGTTTCCTCTACGTATCGAACCCGAGAAGATAGTCGAGAAAGAGGTCGATTTCAACCCGGATTTTCTCAAGCACATGTTTGCCAAAATCGATTGGAAAGCTCTAGTGGACGGTACACGTTCTATGGAATACACCGAACTTCCCGATAACGCACCGGACATAAAGACGCTGGAATCTGACGAATCATTCCTCAGGAAATTCCACCATGCGTTGCTCGAGCTTCATCTTGAGGAAGGCTCACTCGTCTGCCCAGAAACGGGTAGGAAGTTTTCGGTTAACAAAGGAATCCCCAATATGCTTCTCCACGAGGACGAGCTTTAAATTAAGCATAGTGTTATAGATTGATTCATCTTTCAATGCATTGTGTAATGAATGAGTTCTTTATGTGTTAGTACTCTTCCAAAATCTTAATCTTGAAAACTTGTCATTCTACTTTAAGCACTATCTTCATACACTCGTAGACAAAGTAACTTATTGAAGCCGAAGGCAATACCTGGAGATATGTAACAGAACATATCAAGCTTTTGGAAACAATAGACACAGGTTAAGTTTAGTAATGGAACAAGTAGTATTATGCAAACCTGGAGCAAGCTAGGTAAAAGTCCAGCGTATAAAGCTGGGAGGCCTCCTCTCTCAATGATATTGAATCCCATAGCTAAAGCATTGAGCTTGTTTTTACCCATCTGCATCTGAAGCTGTCGTCTCACTACTTCAAAAGGATAAGTGGCCACTTCAGTACAAGCACCTGCGATAGCACCGTACATGAGAGTTCTGATGGGTCCTAACTCGAGCCGGTCTAGAGCATTGAGTTCATGTCCCTGCTGCTTCATGTCTATCAGTCTTTTCCGGCCTTCTGGTGTATGCAGATAGGATGATTTAAGGATGTCGTAAACGCCATAGAAAACTGCACCCGACAAAGCCATGCTTGCTATGGACGGGACTAGACCCTTGTAAAGTGACAACAACCCTTCGGTTTGGATCATATACCGAAAAGCTCCTGCGATTCCACCCAAGGCTTCTCCACCCCGAGCCACTAGTTTGGTTCGTATCTGTGACAGTATAAGAACACATTTCATATCTTCCTCTCGAAAACTGACACTAGACTTAAGTCACTCTAAAGCAGAGAACTTTCTCATCTTTGATCTAATATGGTTTAAAGAGTAAGAACCTACAGTATCGAGTGGCAAGCAGAGCACAGTAGCAGTAATCCCAGCAGCAGCACCAGCAACGAATCTTTCAAAGTTGGTAGCTTCTTGATTCCCAGCGAGTTTAAGCAATTGCTTTCTATACGTATCGTAGGCACAAAAATTGACGGCTTTGAAAGGAGCAGTTCGGAGAACATTGAGCAAATTACCTTTCCAGAATCCAGTCAAGCCCTGTGTAGTGGCAATTGACTTAGCGACCACCAACAAGTTCCTCTGTTCACCACGAACTGTATATTCAAGCTTTAGTCTCTCAAGTGGAGCTAAGAATGTTCTGCCATCATCAACAACAACAACAACAAAAAGTGCAATATTAATACCAATACAAGTTTGCCCAAAAAACAAATGCCAATACTGAAATCAAAGTCACAATCATGGTTTTGGTTGAGGCATTTCATCAAACAACTTATATGCGTTCTAATTCAACAATATATACTTTGAAACCATGGCAGCTACAGCACCAGCCCAGAGATGCTTCCTTGTGTTCATGGTCCCGCGTCTCCTCACTCCACCGTTAACACTTCGTTTTCCATTATCCTTGCCAGGAATTTCGTCGTTTTGCGCCAAAGCATTCTTACATTGCTGTTCAGATCTGTCTTTACTCAAGCTCACGGACAGGAACATCAAGTTCTTACTTGAGCGAAGACGAGTTTTGTTTCCCCAGTAACCGGGAAAATGCACCGGTTCGAAGTCGGAGCATTTGGAGGAGATCGAGTCGAAGAAGGAAGAGGAATTGCCTGGTGGTTCGAGAAACAAACCACCGGTGCTGAAGAAAGCTTCATTGGAGAGATCGATAGAGCTTGAAGAAGAAGAAGGATCGTGAGGATAGATATCGAGTCCTGACATTTGGATAATGAAAGGAGAAAATTTGATTCGAATTTGTAGAGAAAAAGCTAATTTGAGAATTGGCCAAAATTGAGTGGTTGGACCGGTGGAACCGTTTTTGGGCTTTTATAATTTAATTTTGTGGCTCCAAAACTAAAGGTAAAGAAAGCATGAAATTATTAATTTTGAAAAGGAAAAGGTACTGTATAATGCTAAGGATTTTTCTTTTTTTTTTTTTGTCATCGACCGAAGTTATGGCTCAGTGATGTTTTTGGTTCTGATTTCAGGTTGAGAAGGTTAGAACTATGATTAAGAACTTTCAGATTGGTCAAAGCTGAATCAAATCAGCAATTGTTGACCATTCAGGAGGATCATGCTTCTCAGGTATAGTTTTCTAAGCTTATACATTTGTTAGAAGGAGTTTTCTAAGTTTTTTACTTAATTATAGGTTTAGTAGCAGAAGATGCAAATATCTGAATCAAAGTCCCATTTCTTTGACTTACCAGAATTCTAACTAGCAAATAAGGTGATAAAGCTGCTTGTTCTGAGAACATGAAAAGAAGGGAGTTATATCACAAAGCCAATCAGGATGAGAAAACTGAAGCCAAGCTCAGAATTAGGCTGAAACTGAACCCTCCAATTTGATGGCTCGATAGGAATATGAAGCCTCTGATAACAACAGTCAGGAATGAGCATGATGTTACAAGAAGGTGATTGCAAAAAGAATAAGATCTCCAGAGGTCAAAGCCAAGCATGATGAGGAACTGAGAAAAGCTCAGTCAGATTCAGGCTACTCAGGACTCAGGAACGAGCATTATGTTCAAGAAGATGATTGCAAGAAGAACAAGATCTCCAGAACTCAAATAGTAAAGCCTCTGCTAACAGCATTCAGGATCGAGATATCTGAATCAAAGTCCCATTTTCTCAGTTTGGAAGTTTATCATGGAGCAGGTTCTAACTAGCAAATAAGCTGGATAAGCTGAATGTTCTGCAGATACTCACTAAAAATAGGGAGTTCAATCACAAAGCTAAGCACGACGAGGAACTAAGAAAAAGTTAAGAATCAGGCTGAAACTGAACACTCCAATCTGATAGTTCCATAGGAACATGAAGCCTCTGCTAAGAACACTCAGGAATGAGCATGATGTTTTCAGTTGAAAGCATTCAAGATGATGATTGCAACAAGAATTAGATCTCTAGAGGTCAAAGCCAAGCATAATGAAGAACTAAGACAAGCTCAGATTCAGGCTGATCTGAAATTTGAAAGAAAACTCACGATTCAAAACTAATGACTGACTTATTCAATTATCCGATTCTTATACTGATAATCCCAACGCATTAGACTGACCACTGAGTATAATCTAGCACACAAATCTCGACTCCTAGAATAATTTCCTTACTCTAATAACCACAATGTTGCATAAGCTGATGATTCCAAGGGAAGGATCAAGTAGATCCAAGGAAGAAGACGAGGAAGAAAGTGGAAAGCAACAGTACCAAAATGACGAGAAGAAGCAGCTCCATCAATCCGCAAAGCTTAATCCTGTTCATCTTTTTCTTCTCCATGGTAAGCTTTCTCTTCAGATACTCTATTTCTCTTCGCGTTTCTCCTTTCTCCTGCTTCTAAACCAAAACAGCAGAGATGAGATTTCGCATGGCAATTTCGTAATTACGGATCGATTGAAGCAAAATCGATAGGAAGAAGAAGGGATCTATCTAACCTCGCCGGCGGTATCGATTGTACGTGATGATGACAGTGAATAGAGAAGCATCGTAGCTCTGGCGCAGCGAATCGCAGCTCGATCTCCGGAAAATTCGTCTTTGCTTGTCATCGTCTCCTTCGTCTCTCTGACTAATCTCTCTCTGCTTCTTTCTATTTTTGATATTGAGTTTCAAAACTTTTACGCCAGATTTTTAAATGGAGAGCTCAATTTAACAGGTGTCAATATATGATTAGTTGATTTTACCTGAAAATTAAAATATTCCACTTTTATTTTCGAGATTTTCCCTCCTTAGATTTTTAATTTAGTTCAAAACTCTGGTATATCTTACCTTGAATAAAGCTATAGTCAGAATCCATAAATGTTTTAGTGCAATACTAGTTGATATAATTCCGTGTACGTGTTATTCCCAAGTACAATTCAATTCATATACTGATAGGTTGAGAGATCTAAAAGCATGATCGTTCATGGAAGCAGAGAATATAAACTTCTTGGTACTTATAGTATATACATAACTTTGTCCATATCTAGTCTCTTGGCTCATTTTTTGCTTTCGTACAAATATAATAGATCAAGTAACCTTGAGAGAGCCTAGCATAGAAGCCTAAGCAAATTTGATGGTTTAAACAGTTTTGTAGAGCTGTGATCATGTGGGTGCATGAACTTGCAGTTAGGACAAACAGGAGTTGATGTGCACAACATAACCAGCATGTGGCATTTCATGCAAACTGTTGTTACCATCTCTTGCCCTTTGTGATCAACATCTTCATCATCACCACCTTCAAAAGCTAGCCAGGACGGAGATCGACTTAGTCCAGTCCCAATTATGCTCTTCTTACTTGTGTTCGTCAAATCTTTACCCTTTGACGATGTTACTGTTTCATTGTGGTTTGAGGAGTATTCATCTTTCTTGATCGTTGTGGTTCGTGAAGGTGAACCTGAAGGTGAAAGGTTCAGCTCAAGGTCTAGGCTCATCTTAGGTTGTCCAACAATCACTGGATCTTTGGTGTATGCCCTATGATCATCAGATGTTCTTGAATATCCCTGAAAATATAAGTATCTATGTTTTAGATGCATGTTTATGCACATATCATAACACATAAGTATTGTCATATTGATACAAATACAAAATACTTCAATTTCTATATGAATATATACCTTAGTTTGCCAATCTGATGGTAAAGGAGTGTGGAGGTGAAGTTCAAAATCAAAGGTAATTGATCTCATACTCTCCGAGTTTGGTCGTTCAGTGAACAGAGTGCTCTGTACTTTGCTCTGTGATTGATCTTCTTGTTTGATCTTCTTGAATGAATTGTGAAACTCTTCTCCATAGACTGTAAAATCCCTCTTTCTAGAGTAGAGGGTTCCTTCTTGTCGAGAAACCATTAGCCTTAGTCTTGGTTTCCACTGAGTGGTTTCTTAAGCTTTAAAGAAAAAATTTGAACTCTCTATTTGATACTGTGAGGAAATGAGCAGATAGACTTAAAGAGTATCGTGAAGATCATCACTATATATATACATGTAGGAAAACCTCCAGGGGAGTTATTGTCTCTACCGGTTCATATGGAGTAATTGAATTAGATACCATTATAATATTTAAAAATTGGTTGATAAATTATAGATAATTGAAACTATAGCATTTTAATTTGGAGATTTTTAAATTTATGGAGGAATAAAATAATCAAAAAAGAGAGAGGGAAGTAATGTGAAACATGATGTGTGAGTTCCAAGTTGGGTGTGTTCAATAACTCCAAACAGTCTCATTTAAATGCTTAGATGTGAAGTTCTAACCAACTTCTCTTTCTATTTTCGCTTTCTCCTCTACCATCATCATTATCATCACCATATCGTCACCTAGACCTATGATGCATGTAAATCTTTGTTATGATGCATGCATGTAGGTGGTTCATATATACTCTAATAAATTGCCTTGTTAACTCAGACTAATCCCAGAGTAAGTAGAGCCTCGGATGTTCTTACCACTTAAGAAACATCGGAATGGTTTTGGTGAAACCATATGGATGGATAGATGTATGTAAGTATATGTGTATGTGTCATGAATGATGATGATAAAGATGGAGGAGGAAGTGAGAGAAGAAGAGTTGGGAAATAGAGAGGTCAATAAATGGAGAAAACAATAAAGAGAATTAAAGATGGGAGAAGGGAAGGTTGATGAATTGATGAATGCCGATGCAACTTTAATACATCACATTAACTCCTCCTACTCCCATTTTTGGTTATATAACACAAATATACACATTACTAACCAACCTCCTTCCACAAACTTTATTATAAACTTAAGATATTCGAAATGAAATTCTAAAGAAATTTCAAATAGTTAAAGCCTTTCAACGGCCTCCTATCTCATGTCATGTCATGAGACTAGAGCTTCGTATCCTCGTTTATATTTCCGACTCTTTTGGCTATTTTCCTCATAAATTCCCAACCTTTATTTTCTCCCTTTTTAACAAAGATTAATCGATGATATATTACTACTGCGCGCGTTTTGTGTAAATTGAAAAGTGACCATTTATGGTTTACTTTATCAATAGAAATATCTTTGTGATTCACTTTACGATTAACGACGATTGAGGAAAAGAAAAAATGATGATTGGGGAATATTGAATTTTGGTCTAGTGATTATTTCGATAAATTGTCAGTCTAGCTAGTGATGTTAAAGAACAACGACAATTACAAAGCCGTGACACCCAGAGAGAAGGATGTATCATGTATGAAATGTTTTTTCTTTTCTTTTTCTATTTTTCTTTTAGTTAAGCTCAGAATGTCAAGTCAGAAGTCACTGCTTCAGCTATGTCTCGTATTACTATTAGTTAAGGTGATCATGCATGTGTAAATTAATATGCATTTCAAATTAAGAACCATAAGGTATATATAAGTCATATTTTCGTTTAGGGCTTGGTACCATATGTTTAATTATGTTTGTTTTCTCTCAATACAAACATAACATTTTACCAAAAAAAAAAAAATACAAACATAACACTTTAGTGTGTTTATTAGACATCATATGATATTCTACTTTCAGTGCAAATTAAAAACAAAACTCCAGTAAAACAACGAATTTCATTCTTGTTTTGCGTTTGTGATTACAATAAAATGTTTGATCTAAAAACTGCAGATATTGGAGTATCAGTACTGTACTACGTACACAACACAAGTATTTATGTTTGGATAAATCGTTCCTTAGCCTTTAAACTCATGCATAAATAGAACCTAATTGTCATGCAGACAAATGTAAAGTATTCTTTAAAAAAAAAAACTGAAAATAACATACTGTATATACTAAAATAAAAATAAATAAAAACAAGCTTTTAAAGCTCCTAACATCCGCTCCTCCATGCATGCATATATAATAAAGATTCATGTCTCTTCTTTTTTTTGTCAACTTCTCTCCAATTTATTTAAAGCTAGCTTGTACTATAAACTCTCTCTATATATATATATTTATATACTTCTAATTTTCATAAATTGAAAAAAATGGAAAAAATGTGTTTGAAAGCTACATCGAATCATAAATAACATAAATTAAATTGAAGGTTAGATGGAGAATCATAATTCTGAGTCCCTCGGTGCATATAGTTATTTTTCTGAAATAAATTAGTTGTAATTTCCTGGTGGAAGAATTAAATATTTGGTACTTGTCTACCCGTTTCCATTGAATAATTTTGAAACTATTATAAATGCAATATTCAATTATATGCGTTGCATATATCTACTTGTCAATAGAACATAAATTTTATCACACATATGGGAAAAAGCATCCATCGAATCATCTAAATTACAAATGTGTAAGGCCAAAATTTTTACAACATATCTTAGTTTTACGAAATTTCCATATGGATAATATTTACTGGTTGTAACTAACTCCTAATGTTTTCGTTTGTGCGGATGGTTGATGGTTCCATCATCCATGCAATTCAATGTCACGGTATATTCACGTGCACAAGGATGAAAGCCAATGCTTCTGAGTTTTGACCCTTTGTGCTATTTTAAGTCGTCTCAACTTTTTTAGGGTTAGGAATCGGCTTCTATTATTAAAAAAGTCAACAACATATATAAGCCGAGTTTGATTGAAGTTTATCAGAGTAAACAATTTTGTTGGAAACAAAATGCATGTGACGATGAACATTAAATAATAGGGTATATGTTCCTATTAATTACGGTCGATTTGCCCAAGAATTAGGTTTGAGAAGGTGTGTTGATCAAGTGAAATAAATGCATTACCCATAAATTATGTCAAATAAACTTTAAATGCAATAGAAATATGTTCAAGTTTTGAATTGTCTGCCGGAAAAACATAGATATCTTATAAATATTTAATACTCCACTATAGACTATTTTTGCTTATCCTTATCATCGTTTTTTTTTTCTTTAAGAAAATCAAAATTCTTATCATCTATTTTTGAATAATTTATTTGATCAAAACTTAGTACATAAATAGTATTCTCTCCGTCCTACAAAGATGAATTTTTTGGAAATTTTTTTAGTCCCACATAGATAGAAGTTTTATGTTTCCAATGTAAAATTTAAAAAGGTTTACCTATTTTACCTTTATTAAATAACAATAAATAATACACTTTTTAGAATGTGTTAAAGTGTTAAAGGGTTAAAATTGTCATTATACATTATTTCTTAAAGAATGTGAAATCTCTATAAAATCTATCTTTGTGGGACGGAGAGAGTATATATAGGGCAACAAATATTTTATTAAACTATACTTGTGCCATTATTTAAAAATCTGTTATGATCAATTTGGTACAAGGAATGAAGGAAATATACAAATAACGTAATTTTATAATTTACAAACTTAACCTGATACTCTCTTTCTCCGTAAACTTGATTTTGCAAACCCTTTCTCAAAAATTAAGGAATTTATTTGGGCTTGTTTACTTATTTTATTTGAAAAAGGTGTATCAATAATAATACACACCTGATCGTACATCATTTAACGTTTTACTATAAAGTTAGCTTAGGCCCATATTAATATGATGATAGTTTTGTGAATGATTGTGGGATTGGAGAGTTTTTTCTTTCGTTGGGATCGGAGAGTTAAGAGATTTAAAATGGGCTAAAACTTAAAAGCCTAAAACCTATTTCAACCGCTTCGTTGAAAACAAAACCCTAATACGTTGCTAATTAATGTAACCATAACATTAATTGGACAATTTTTCTATAATGCGTTTAAAATAATATCCACAACTGATTATGTCAAAGACTGAAAAGTGAAAACTAATGGGCTTTGATTGATCAGATTAAAACAGAAACAAAGCCCATAAAAATCTTGGAGCAGTAAAGTTATGTGTTCCGAAGACTTTTATTCAAAGACAAAACCGGGTTAAAAACCCGATTTTTTACAACAGAAAATACCAAAATTAGCTGACACAAAAACAACAACAAAAGAAACAACAGAACAATACAGAAGAAACAAACAGTACTAAGCTCTTCGTCTCTGGATCTAGACCATGTCCAGAGATTATTCTTAAGAACATACGAGAAAACACAGAATAAGCTTGGGGGAAGAAAAAGAAACACAACAACATCAAAATTACAGACTCAGCGAATCATCATCATCATCCTTCACTTCTTCAATAGATTCCTCGAAAAAATCCTCTTGCAATAAGGATTATTACGTAGAATTGAATGTGGCCTTATGACTTCCACAAGTGAAGCATGAAGTGGACCCTGTTACAAATTTCATAAACCAATATATAACCGAACGGGAAACCGAATTGGAGTGTAATTCATATAACTTGTACGTAAAGTTAGTACCTTTGTGGCGGCAAGAGCGGCTTGGATGACAAAATTTGCGTAAGGGTCTTGAAGAAGCTGGTCAAAATGAGGAACAGAGACGAGCTCACGGACGATTTGTGGACGACTCTCCGGACAATGCATGAGACATCGTTCGACCATATGGCTACTGAATTTCTGCATTGAAAGCTGCACATAATGACCTTTTAACTGAGCTAGCATCATCGCTACGGCAGAAGGAATCCTCAGTTCTATAACGAATTGGACTGCGTAGTTCCTGCAAAATTTTGATCATCCAAAAAATAAGTTTGTTTTTAGATACTTCCAAATAAAAGTTTGTTTTGTTCAATCAATTTACCCAAAGGGGTCTTGAGCAAGAAGGAGACTGTTTCTAGAGATTTCAGCTATCAGCTTCTCTCGTTGTTGTCTCATTGAATAAGCAATGCATTTTTGAAGCACGCAACATCCATGTCGATGTGTTGCGATTTCGGTGCAGAACTTTGTCGCCGCATCAAAGATAAACTGTTCAAAAAAAAAAACAGAACAAGATTTAGCTTAATATGATTTGATGATCAAGAGAGTTCAAGAATGTGAAAGGAAAGGGCTTTATTTGTTTGACCTTGTTATCTTCAGTGCTAAGGCATTGCAAGCAACGTTGAATCACATGGTTTCCATTTAAATCTTTGATCAAATCAAGAAAACCGGGTCTCAATGCCGATTTCACCAGAGAAATCTGTTTTCCGGTTTTGATTGTTTCCACTAATCTTTGGACAACCCGAGTACTACAAAAGAAAGATAATCAAAACATGTTTTTAAGCATGTGATATCAAACAACTAATGGAAAAAAACAGAATGATCTCTTAGAATGTAAAATTGTTTACCCGTATGCATTGAGAGATATCCGGATAAGTTGACCAGGCTCCGCGGTTGCCACGAGCACGATTTGCGTCCTCTGTTCTTCAGTACAAACATCTAAGAGTTTCTGCATCAAGTAATTCCCAAAAGGATCCATCATAAGCTCAACGACATGAGCAATAACTTCATTGAATATGATCATCGCGTCAACAGAAGTTCCTTCATCGAAAATCCTCTGCAAGAATCGACATCCGTGTTGGTCTTTAGCCATTAAGTATACATATCCTTGAATGTCACACATGTTAGGCAGACTCGGATGACATATCTCTGTAGTACTCCCATGATCAGACATCACTGCTCGAGTACTGCTTCTCTGATGATCCAAGCTTTTCCCATACATGAAGAAACTATCATCAGAGCTAAATGGTTCAGAGCATTTTGAAACCATAGGAACTTGAGTTCCTTGACAGAACAATGGTAACATGTCTGATGTTGTTGTTCTGTAACTTTGATGATTATAGGAAATTTCGGGTTGTTGTTGTGGCGGCGAGTAAGCTGAGTACTCTCTCATTCCGCCTCGATTTCCGAAAATCTCCTGACCATTGTTGTAAGGACTAGTACCACCATTACTGCTTGAGTAGCTAGGCCATCCAATTTGTTGAGAATTGGCTATGGAATCTTGAACTTGAGGACTGTTCTCAAACATGTTTCTCTTGTCGACATTTTTGCTTTGATCGAATCCAAACCACGAGTCACATGGCTGGTTAACACTAGACTCTTTTGTTGGACGAAAGAATCCACATGGAAAGCCTCCAGAGACAAATCCACCATTGTTAGATTCATAGTGTTTAGGTGAAAAGTTGTAGAGTGGATCTAGAGTGAAATCGGTGTGATCAGACTTAGGAATCGAACCGTGAGCCTCGGTTCGTGCGTAACGTACTTGATTTTCTTCAACATCCTCCTTGATATTCATACGGTAGAGATCTTCACACAAACCTAAATCATCACCACCATTAACATGACTCTTTTCAAGATCCTTATGAAACAATGAATCATTATGATTATGAAAAGAGACTGGTGAAGTGTGATTAAGCTTAGGAATGATCCCGCTAAACGGAGGAGAAGCGAACGGAGAAGAACTATCCTCAGGAGAACAGAATCCATTAGAGAAGGAACTTGATAAAGAATAATCTGATGAAGAGTTGAAAGAGAATCTGTTGCTAATGGAGAAATCTCCATGAAAGAGATTTGGAGAGTGTAACGGTGTTCGTAGTGGAGTCGAAGGAGACGAAGAGACCGAAGAAGCTTCACGAAACTCATCCATCTTCATTATTGTATAAATCTCTCTGTAACAACAACAACGCAAATTTTATCATGAATTATTTCTTTCACTGCATAACATATGAAAAATATATCTCAAAACGTAATCAAAAGATCTTACAAAAGTTATTTACAGAAGAAGAAGAAAACAAAAATGATAGTAAAGTTGGCTAGATTTTTTTTTTCTTTTCTTGTTTTTTTTTTGTGTGTTTTACCTTTATAAAGGAGAAAACGTATATAATCGTCGTTTACGCCATTAAAGTGACAGTGAAAAGCTTCAACATATCACACAATGGTTAATCTAGAGAGATTTGTTTTTGGTGATTATGGTTAATCTAGAAAGATAGAGTGTAGATTCTCTCGTTTATCTTTTAACTTAGGAAATCTTAGGATATGATTTTCCTCTTCATCTTCTTTTTTTTCTCTAACGGTTTTGGCTTTTAAGGAAACGATTAATGTTCAAAGAAATAATTAAGACGACGCATAATTCTGCTTGATTTTCTATAATCGTTTTCTATTTTTTACTCCTTTTGATGTAAGACTAAATCAACCTTATAAATTAAGACTAAATCCTCTTTACAAAATATCTTTTTTGAATAAGTAAACCTTTCTAAATTAGATTTTGTAATAAAATCTTTAATTAAAGCAATTAAGATTTCCACATAATACGTGATATGTATGCCTAAATAAAGAGTGTGGTAAAAAAGATTATAATTACAAATTTAATGCATTCTAATTGTAAATTTCAATATTAAAAGTTATAGTATCATTTAGTAGTAGATGTATAAATCCTACAGAAATATTCCTAGTTTTATTTTATTTTTCTTGCGGTATAAAATCTTAAAAAGTGAAAATGTTTAAGACTTGGATAATATTACAACATATTTTTTTATTAACAACAAAAAAATTGAAAATTAGAATATAGCTAAGTCACAGTGACTTGGTCTTCATAATCACAATTGCGGAAGTTACGAAGAGGTCCATCACATCTATCTCACTTTTCTTGGAAACTACTACTCTTTGCTATTTTTAGACCTAAAGCATCTTCCTTTTTTCATGGTGGCAAAATGCATCCAACAAAATGAATTTAAGATTTTAAGTTAAACTTTTGATCATCGCAATATCAATAGTAAGACATACTCATAACTTTTGTGCCATGCCAACTTAATTTTGTGATATAAAATTAGGCTCCTTCTGGCTAGAAACGATTACATATCAAATTACTTTGGTTCCCCAGTTTGGCAAGTTCCGGAAAATAAAAACAATAACTCCTCAGCCAAGTAACACTCTCTGTCCCGTAGTAATGCTATTACAGGAGATACATTAGAAAGCCCTAACGGCTTAAAAACACAACTGAAATAATAATATTAATAACCACCATAACTAAGGAAACTGCAAAATACAAATCACACTTTGAGCTGAAGTGTATGGGAAACCACAAGAACACACACCGATCAATCGCGGTTTAAAAGAGTTAAGTTGTTACCGAAAAAAGAGGGTTTTAAACAAGGGCAATGCTTGCCTCACCACCTGGTGGTTTACGGACACCGCCTAGATAGTCTCTTGCCTCTACTTTCCCATCTGCAAATATGTTGTTTCCTCCTATCTCCTTTAGCTTCGCTTGACTCAGATGCTTTTCAACAGAAGATGATGCCGCATCTCCCTTGAATATGTCGTTCCCTGAAAGTTCTGCGAATTTCTTGTCATAAATCTTCTTTGCTGTCTTCACAGATGAGTCTTCTCCAGCAGACTGCAGAATAGTGTTTCTCGGATTAGACTATATACAGCAATGAGTGGTTAGAGATGTCAAGGAACACATTGGAAAGGTCTTACTTGAGATTCAGCTCCGAGGTTGAAATTGTCCTTAAGAGCCAATGCACGATTTGTTCCAGATCTAGGTTTGATCTCAGGCGGTGGAGCAAAGATGTTCTGTCCACTGATCTCTTTATACTTAGCATCAGAGAGCTGCTTCTTCAGCTTATTAGCTGTATCATTCTCCATAGTCCCACTGAGCTCTCGCTGTTTTGCCACTTCAGGTACAGTAGCCGGCTTTTTAGGAGATAGATCTTCCTCCTCACCAAATGATATCTGGCTTATACCACTAAGTGCTTGCTGAAAGGTAATCAAGAGTTTCAGTAATATGACTAATAACATTACAGAACAATCCTCACTCTCTAAAAAAGACTGGTACCTGATAAACCGGTACTGGCTCTGATGCATCATCTTCTTCGTTACGAGAAAAGATCCCACTGCCAGTGATCTCCTTCATTTTATGTTCTGAGCAAGGTTTCCTAATGCATTATAAACATTTTCACAAGTTTTTTGACATCAGGATATATGACCAACTCCACATAAACACCATGAAGCTGTCATCAAGAATCCTTAAAAAACAAGGCACAGTTGAAGATTTGTCTCTATGATCTAATATTTGATGGCCAATTCTAAGATTTGTCTCTATCAACTCTCAATTGAAAAATGGCATAAACAGAGTATTATCCATCACCAAAAGTTTCAATTTTTTTGAGGTAACAGAACAAATTCAAATTGTTTCGAGGTCGGTCCTAAGAACAAAATTGGAAACTAATTTTCGAAGAATTCAAATTGGGAATGAAATAGAGATCAAAGAAGTAAGTATCACCTTCGGTTCAAGCTCTCAACTTCTTCATCGGTCACTTGACCTCCAAACACCACTTTGCTAATCCCATCCGATGGCTGCAAACAAAAGCAAACATTGAAACAAATATTATAACCAGATTGCTCAAATCAGAAGTGAATTTCGAAATGGTGTACGTACCTGGTGGGAACGAACGGCGGAGCGAGAAGCGGAGGAAGGAGAATCCGGCGGCGGAACTTCCGACCAAGTAAGTAGATCTGCGGTGGATGTGTGTGGCTTTCTCACCGGCGTACTTCTCTCCATAGTCTCTCTCTCTCACTAGCAAGCAAAACAAATCGAATAGAATGAGAAGAAGAAGATTAGAAGACTACTCTCTCTTTTCAGCTTCTTCTTCCCACTGGTTTAAGATTAATCGATTGTGTTAATTGACGCTTTTACCCTTTACTCTGTTCTTAATTCTCACTTGATCTGGAAAATTCTTCTCTACGCTGCCACGTGTAATTAACAAGTTGGTCATGATCATTAAATTCAAAATCATCCGTATTTTCTAATCAGAAAATTGTTGTGATTACAACAATTTGTTGGGGTTTTTACAGAAATATTCAAATACTTTTCTTCGTGTATGGGATTGGGATTAGTATTTTAGAATGTAAAAAAAGGAATTGTTTTAGGGAAAAAAAATAATTGAAGCGCATTAGATAGAATTATGGTCAATCATATTCTTCTTCTTTTTTTTTTGTTTCTGACACAAGACCATGTGAAGCCATCAAAACTAATAAAGACTTTTACCAACGTTTTTTTAAGCAGTGTGATCACGTGATGCCCATCTTTATATTACATTTAGCATACAACATGTAATTTGATTAAAAGTGTAATTAATTCAAAAAGGCCGTGATTTTATCCTCTCAATTAGGAGCCTTTAACTAAACTTAATTATTATCCGCAATCTTTAATCCTGATTCTTCGTAACCAAAATTCAAATCGTCAATGATGAATAGTTTTCATACGGATTTGCATCTAAATAAAATGCGGTTGGAGCCAAAATTCACGCCTAAAACGGGTAAAAATTCAATATTTTACGCTGTATAAATTTTTATTCATTGATTAATAGAATACTAAGCCCAAAACTTTATACAATAATTGAGCCCAAACCAATAATTTTTTTGAATGCTTGTTGGGCTTTATTTGAAGATCCGTCACGAAAAAAAAAAAAAAAAAAAACGCTTCTCTTTAACAAATATATCATTAATTTAAATTATACTTCAAAATTCGTTCACGAAAATTCTGTGAATTCTTCTACTTTAGCGAAGCTTCGTGTTCCAATAGACAACCACGGAGGCTTAAAAAATGCCGATGACGGTTGTTTCCGGTCGATTCTCATCGGCGTTTCTCCCGAATTGTTTTTCCGTGTCCCGGTTAGTTACCGTCAAGTACGCCGCTCAAAGACGGGTTGTTCTCGTTTCCAGATCAGCTCAGGCTTCTTCTGTCTCTGTCTCCGTCGAGACGAATTCGAATGTACGCTTTCGCTCTCCTCCAACTTAGGAATCAAATTTGTATGATTTTGGTAATTTGCTGAGAATATTTATTTCCGAGCTTTTGTTAAGCGTGATTTGGTTTTGTTCGATGATCTGATTCAATTTGATTCTTGTGCAGGTGGATTCTGTTATCGAGAAGGAGGAGAAGAACAGAGGAGAGAAGAAGATTCTAGCTTGTCCCATCTGTTATAACTCCTTAGCATGGATTAGTCAACCTAATGGATTAATGTGAGTCTCACTGTTATAGTTGGATTGAGAGAATAAGTGAGTGTTCAATTTTCTTGAGAGGCTAAGTTTTGTATTTTTTTGGTACAGAGGATCTGCTGCCTCTGGTACTCAAGTACAATGCAATACATGTAAAAGGAGTTACTTGGGTAATGAGACGCATCTTGATTTGGCTGTGGCTAGTGGAAGCAAGAGATACAGTGAACCAATGCCTCTTTCCACTGAGTTATTCAGGTACATGATATGCTTTAATGGGTTCTTTGTCAATGTTAGGCTTTATCCTGTCTTCTTTGTGGAAACTGAGATTTTTTTGGAATTGTTGTTTTTATAGGACTCCATTAGTCTCGTTCCTTTATGAGAGGGGTTGGCGTCAGAATTTCATATGGGGAGGTTTTCCAGGACCAGATAAAGAGGTGAGACGAAACCACTCTCTTGTTCTTCAAAGGCCTCTTCTTTGATCCCATATTGTTTATTTCAGATAACATAATGAAGCTTATATTGGTTAGAATATGTTCTTCGTATAGCAACATCTATGTGCAGGTCTAAACACTTCTAGAGTTGTATTCCACAGTTTGAAATGGCTAAAGACTACCTGAAGCCTGTTTTGGGAGGCAATATCATTGATGCTAGTTGTGGAAGTGGGATGTTCTCGAGGTTATTCGCTAGAAGTGACTTATTTTCTCTGGTTATTGCCCTTGATTACTCAGAGAATATGCTGCGGCAGTGCTATGAACTCTTAAATCAAGAACAAAACTTTCCCAACAAAGAGTTTGTACTTTCACCTTTAGCTTTCATTATTGTCCTAAGATCTTGGGTTACCAGATGTATTATTTTTACTCTGCTGTCCCATTTCCAGGAAACTTGTTCTAGTCCGAGCAGACATTGCTAGACTCCCTTTCCTTTCGGGTTCAGTTGACGCTGTCCATGCTGGTGCTGCTCTGCATTGCTGGCCTTCACCATCCTCAGCCGTAAAGCTTTTCTCCCAATTCAATATTTTACAAAAACCACACATTCAATGATACGTTATGTGTTTATGTTCCCTTGGATCTTCTAGGTTGCTGAGATAAGCCGTGTTCTTAGACCTGGAGGAGTATTTGTGGCCACCACATTTATCTATGACGGTCCATTCAGTTTTATCCCCTTTCTGAAGAATCTTCGTCAGGTTTGTGTATATGTTATTTCTAGCCTTAAAACTTTCAATTGATGTCTTGCATTTTCTTCTCTTTTGCCCATGGTGGGGTGTATGGCTGATTATGCATTCTGGTCATGCAAATGGTAGGAATTAATGAGATATTCAGGTTCTCACATGTTCCTGAATGAACGTGAGCTTGGAGATCTCTGCAAAGCCTGTGGACTCGTTGGCTTCACTCGTGTTAGAAACGGGCCATTTATAATGCTATCCGCCACAAAACCCAGCTAAGCTCACCCTCTTGAAAATATATACTATTCTGTAAAAATTTGGTATAAAGTTATACACATTATAACAACTCGAAAGTGCATACAGTATACCTATTTTGTAAAGCTTTTTGCAAACTTTCCTATCATCTAGGTTGTAAATTGGTTTTAACATGGTTTGCAAAAGTTTCTTCTTGTGAAAACTCAATGTCTCTGTTTGAACTTTCCGGAAGCAGTTCACGCATCTCAGAATCTATAAAAGCTTCCATCCGAGCACGATCTCTGTCTAGAGGATAGGTACGGTAAAGAAAGGAGTAGATGAAGCAGCAAGCCGCCATTGGGATTCCTATAGATGTATAAAGAGCTTTTGCCAGAGATGCTGCATTCTCTCTATCTGTGGCTATCTCTGCTGATTTGGATGACCCTTCAGGGATTGGTTTATATCCATAAACATGTTGTGCCAGGATTCCAACTATAGGAGGAGCAAACGATGACAAGATTGACTCAAACGATTTGTCCAGTGCGTAGACGCTTGTTCTTGATTTCTCTGGAACTATCTCTGCAAAGATCGGGCTGCATTTGTTTCACCACGGTCAGCATCAACAGTGAAACGATAGAGTTACACATCATTAGGCATGGTAAAGAGAGAGACTTTACTTGTTGGTAGCAGGAGCATTCCAAGAAACAAAAAGCCCCAGTAGGACTAAGATCAAACCATGCATTGCAGCTGTGGATGGATCATCTGGTAAGACCAACAAGAGAATTGCAGCGAGCGGGATCGCTGAGGCTGAACTGATCTGCGCGAGAATGATTCTTCCGGAATTAGGAAGACGAGTAGACAGAAAATCTCCCATTTTACCTCCAAATAAGCCTCCAAGAGAAGATGCAGCCACGAAAAGACCCATCAAGAATGCAGTTTTCCCGTGTGAGAACCCGATGAGTTCCAACCACATGGGTGCAAAAGAGAGAGCAGACCAAGGAAACGATCCTGTCACTCCCTGAGCTACAATGATCTGAAAAGACCGAATCTTTATGACAGTATCAGCTTCCCGGACCAAATCCTTCACCTCTGTACAAAAAGGTTTCCTCGAACCTCGTTGATTCGAAACATCAACACCATCCTTCACAAAATGTGGGTCATTGGCAAAAACTCTGACTAACACACCAACAATAACACTGATCACACCCACGATATGGAAAGCAACTCTCCAACCAGGTATGCCCATGAAGGTTAATGGAGCTATTAAAACAGAGCAAAGCCCGCCTAAAATCGAACCAATGTTTGCAGTTAATTGCAACCATCCAAAAGCAGTACCACGGTTAGCATCATCCGTTGAATCAGCAACGAGAGACTGAATAGCTGGAGCCACTAAGGCAAGACCAATTCCATTCAGAGCTCTAGACACAGCTACCTGCTCGATCAGAAATGCCACAAGAGATTATGTGTCTCACTAAGTAAACCCAAACCATAAACCAAGAAAACCTTAATTGTGGAAAAAAGGACAAAACCTGGAAGAAAGTGGAAGAGAAAGCGACAAGGAAAGTAGCAGCAGACCAGAGAAATGCACCGAGAGCTATAACATGAGCTCGGTTATGTCTAATGGCCATGTAAGCAGCTAAGGGATAGCAAGCGGCTTGAACCATGGATCGCATCAACGTTAATGAACCGAGTCCGGTTGGATCGGTATGGAGAGCTAAACCGACCTCTTTGTATACACCTGGAAGCAGAGATTCATCGGCTCTTTCCATTATTCCGGCTAGATTCACCAGAATCAACGTCACCGTCTCCGCCTTCATCTTTCCCGACTAAAAACAAAACAAAAAAATCTGATATTTCTTCTTCTTTGAGTCTAATTCGTAATCGAAAAATAAATTTGGGATGTGAATCATATATGTTGACGGTGGGGGCAGTGTCAGCCAATCACGATACGTGGTCGCTGACGGTGGCGCGTGAGAACGGTCAAAGAAGTGATGAAATTTCCCGTTGATCCCGAACTGGGCCCTGTTAGTGTTTTCCACAGCTTATGGGCTTAGGCCCATATTTTCATAAGTGTATAAAAAACCAATCTATTTTTCTTTTAAGCATCAGTAATGTTTTGATTACAACTTTTAAGTTTTCAAGTCTATAATTAATACTGGATTTATCACAAAAGTTACCCGACTTCTAATAAATATGATCAGAAGACAAAAGTTATATGTTATTCACGTAAGGACATTACGTATGTTCTTCAATCCTCACTAAGTCAAAATTGTTAGATTTTCGTCTGGATCTACATTTCTCGAATGTTGTGGGAAATAGCACTTTCTCGACGTACAGTGTCATTATAAGTTTGTAACCCTGAGTTGAATCTTTTCATACTTAGCTTGGAGGTTAATCATGGGCTTATGTGGACCCTAAATCGTATAATTGATTGTTTTTTTTCATAAGGACCAAACATATATGGGCCTATTCTACCACTTACTGCTGTTTGAACAAGTCTTATATTCCAAGTTCCAACGATTGGAATTCGTGAATAAGCAACGGCCCTTGTTTAGTAATGAGTTTGGATTGGATATAAACAACCCCCTAAGTGAAGAAATATCCAAAAATAGTAAGTCTTCTTCTTTTATTCTTTTTCCCTTCTAAGCCAAGTATATATGGTCCTTTGGATCATGTGCCTATACATTTTTCCCTCTAATCAAAAAACTTTTCCTCTAATTGCTATATTTGGATATTCCAAACTAATTTCAAATCAATTGGCAACATCTTCCACCATCAATTAAAAAACGAGTTGATCAACATGACGACAAAAGCAACTTCTAAACCTATGAATATTTTAGACAATTTTTTAGTTTTTCACTAACAATAAAACCTTTTTCAGCGAAATAAAACCTTATATCCCGATACCATGTAAGATTCCTATTTTTGAAAATGAATTATATATAGACATTCATACATATATCGCTTTTAATTAGCTTCGCAATGCATGTACGAGTACAAAATAATATCCAATTAAACATAAGAAATGATCGTCTTTTCGGATATCTAATCTTTAACCCAAAGCCAACTTCGTTATTCTGTTCTTCGTTTTCATATATTATTTTCCCTTTACAAGTTTTACACGCCATAGATCCAATCATATTATTTGTCATCTTTAACACTGTTTGGCTATGATTTGGTAATTTAGTGTTCCATTCCATGCTATGAAGAAAAAACCATATTGTCTAATGGTTTTAATCGCTGAAATCAAACTAGAAAGTAAACGACAGCCAACTTTTTTGCCTTATATTCATCACCATTAAATAATTGAATAGTTTTTCGCTGGCTGATTTTTTTCTCTAAGTTTCAAACTTTTAAAAGTGAAATCAAATGAAATATAATTAGTTATGCGTACGATACTTTTTAATTATCCGTCTACATTCATATTATGAATTTATACAAGGAACAATATCATACAAGTATGATGACTTCAAGTATTTAATATACCGCAATCATTTTATTACGTATTTTCTCTTTAGTTTCCATCGTGGCTTTTTTAGAAACTGTGATAATTAATCAGAAAAAGAAGTCCTAGATGTATTGCTTATATCAAATTTGTAATCATGTGGTTTGCATATAAAAGAATATATGCACTTTGAGTATAGTAGAGGTTTATCGATAGTGACTTTCCTTACTATACATATACATTTGGTTGAAGCACTTTATTAAATATATTCCTTTGTGTTTATATTTATCTATCGATCTTTTTTAATGCATACTCCAAAATATGAATCAGTCTGTAACATATATATTGAGTGAAATTTGCCATAAATTTTTTTTTTTTTGGTGTGTCAAAGAAATCACAATATATGATTACATATATGCATGTATTCTACCTTAATGCTACTAAACAATTGCTATACTGCCTTCAAAGAAAAAAATAGACTATGAGCCTAGCTATACTAGAAAAATTGACCACCTTTTTACTTATTTCTGAAACTAGCAATCATTTAATAGAATGGGTTACGTTATGTTTTTAATTTGTAACCGAATTTAAATCAGTGTTTTTTTTTGGAAAAAGCTTTATCTGTTAGACTAGTCGTATATGGTCCATATACAGCAACATTATGATGAATAGTATGTTGGAAGTATGTTTGCGTTCTTAGAGGAAAGAAATCTTGTAACAAGAACATTACATGTATAAAATGACTATTTCGATTAGAAATCGTTGGTTTTTGACTACTTTTGTTATTTTTGTTGAATATTTTTTGAAATAGAGAGATTTAAGAGAATCTATTTACGTGGCTAGTTTTGGGTTCATTATAACTTTGGTCATAGCTTTATCCTTCTTCTCCTTCTTCTTTAATTTTTAGATAGCACGAGTTTTCTAAGTTGTCGGCAGGAAAATATAAGCACATTCAATCCATGCAATTTTTAGAAAGAAACAAAACAAAACTAACGAAATGATCTTACCAATTTTCTGAAAATACATATCTTATCTGGAAACATCTATCAATATTGATAGGCCATGAACTATATCTAAAATCTGTTAAAAACTGTCATATTCAAATAATCTAATCCAATTTGTAAACAAAAGTACTATGTAGATGCTTTAATTTTTTTGCTCTAGCTTCTCTTTAGTACGAAATTTTAGTGAAATCTATAAAAAGGTTTGGACTTTGGAGGCATACGTGTAGGTGGGAGGACAAAAAATGAAGATAAAGCAGTCAAAGGCAAATCAAACATACAACAACAGACACAGAAAGAAAAGCTGCCTTATGAGACAGAAGGTCCCCAACAAAGCCGGCACCGACGACTCGCACGAACGAACAAGACGATACGAGAGTCACGAGACCGTATCACTGTCTGTCCTCTTTCTTCTACACAGTGTATGAACACAATAAAATCCGTTTCTCAGCTAGAAAAAATGTATATATAATATCAAAATGAATTATCACTTAACTCACGTACAAGTCGCAGTTAAAGAAAAAAAGTTTCCGTTAATATTATTATAATGGTTTAAGCGTAATTTCAGCAGAATCTGTTCACGATCATAATTTGGTGGTTATTAGTATCATCAATATACTAATATCGATATCAACCCACTTTATTATTGCGGATGCTTTGGGCGTTTAAGAGGATAGACTTAATTATTCCGTTAATTACTTTTATAAAAGCACTATTAAGCATTGACCCGTTGGTCCTTAACTTTTTGTTAGTGTACCACAGACTAATGCCATTATCATAAGTTGGTAGAAATAGACAAATTTACTTCCATCGATATCACAAATTCATATTTTTTTTACGTTTTTATCAGTCAAAACATCTTAAAACACCAAAAGATAGTTGATGTTTTTATCACTTATCATCATCATAGCATATACTAGCTAAATCTTAAGCATTTGTTTGGTAATTATATATGTTTTTTTTTTGTTAAAATGGTAATTATATATGTTTTACAAATCATTGTAGGATAGTAGCTTTAATATCCCCATCAATCGGAGTCATTGGATATATTTTTTGATGTATACCTAAATTGCTGTTGCTGAGATTAGTTGGAATAAAAAAGTTTGAAATTAGAAATATGAGATGGATTTATTCAAAACAAAACAACCACAAAACTATATAACTATAGAGCACAACAACTACTAACAGAATTGCTTACTTTAATAAGAATCAATTATGCTAGTGTTCGTAACTAATTGTCCAACTAAGGGTTTTGAGTTTTGTGGTCTATGATAATCGTTTTCGTGTATGTTAAAAGGTTCTGTTCTCCTTGTATTAATTATTTCCGTAAATGTCGAAAAATAATGATAACAACAACAAAAAAAAACTATATTAATATTTCACTAGGCTCCAAAAAATTTGAACAATCTATTGCATATTTCGTCTTTATCAATTAAGACAATAAACAATCAACGATAGGGTCAGGCAATAACAGGAATGTTTTAACGAATCGACCCCATTAAATCAAATTAAGATCTAATTTTTGGATTTTAGAAAACAAAAGTAAGATTTTTGTGTTATAGCAAAAGGCAGACAAATCAAAAAGTTGGTTTCTTGGAAAGTACTCCACTGTAACTCTTTTCTTAGACTTATATAAATAATACATAAACAACTTTCATCTTCAATTAAAAAAAACCTCTCTTACTCCTCTGTTTCATCGAACTCTTCACAGTGCTTATTTTCTAAAGCTTCAAACTTTTATTTTCTTCTTGAAATGGCGAAATCGAAGAAAAACTCTACGGGTCAACTATTTGGTTGTGAGAGTCTCCTTGGATGTATTTTCCAAAGCTGGAGCCCTCGCCGGCGAAAACCCTCTTTACCGGAAAAAGATCATAGGGCAAAAGATAACTTGCCTTCCAAGTCATCAACAACCGTAACAAACCCTAAAATCCTCCCAAGAAAATCCACCGATACTTCTTCTCAACCAAAGAAATCTGATCCCCAGAAACCCCAACAAAAGCCAAAATCCGATGAGAATCTCCCGAGAAAATCATCGGATTCCGCCAGAAAATCATCAGATTCCGCCAGAAAATCGATTTCGTCAGGCTCATCAAGAACAGAGAGCAAGAGATTCTCACTTAACGGCGTTATGGGAAACATTATTGTGAAACCACAGCCCGCCGTTAAAGCTAACGTGACAGAGACGAGAAGTCGCTGGGAGGGCAAACCGGTAAATTACAGACTCGATCCAGAGACTCTGAAGAAAATGGGAAACGAAGAGTATTGTCGTGGGAGGTTTGGAGAAGCTCTTGTGTTTTACGAGAAAGCCATTTCAGCTGACCCCAAAACGCCGACGTATTGGTCTAACAAATCCGCCGCTTTGATCAGTCTTGGTCGTCTTCTTGAAGCTTCTGATGCTTGCGAAGAAGCTTTAAGACTAAACCCAACTTATGAGAGAGCCCATCAGAGGCTCGCTTCCCTCCAACTCAGGTAGAGTCTTTGCTTTTTTTCTCTAACTGGTCCCTGTAAGTTTCAGATTATTACTTTATAGTACTAAATAATTAACAATTATCAAATTGCACCCTGACTTTTGTTTGTTTTTGAACAGATTGGGTGAGGTTGAAAAAGCTATGTGTCACTATAACGAAGCTGGAAAATATACAGAGACAAAACATATAGAACAAGTTGAAGATGTTATAAAATGCTTAAGGAGGTGTGACGAAGCTCGAAGATCAAAGGAATGGAATGTTGCGTTGAAAGAGACTCTTTTTGCAATGTCATATGGAGCCGATTCATCGCCTCGGGTTAGCTCTCTTTCTTGTTTATATCATCTCTCTAATGCTTTTTTGTGTCCATAATTAAGGAGCCAAATATTGCAAGTTTGGTTTGACTGGTTGTGTTGGTTTAGCGAACCGGATATTATAAAAGTGAAATTTATTGGTAGGTACTCTTGTTTTGACTAATTAAACCTATAAAATCTTCAATCTCATAAGGTCTATGCGCTCCAAACCGAGGCCTTATTGCATCTTCAGCGACACGAGGAAGCATACAGCGTGTATCAGAAAGGAACAAAACGCTTCGAGATCGATAGTTTCATAAAGATTTTTGGTCTTTCCCTCACTTCTTACCTCTTAATGGTCGGAGCTCAGGTCTACATTGCAGTAGGAAGGTCAGTATAGTAAAACAGCATGACGTACGTTTTTACTTTTAACTTGTAAAATGTGAGGAGGCTCATGTCTTTCTTTCTTGGACAGATTTGAAGATGCAGTAACGGCATCAAGGCAAGCGGCTCGACTGGATCCGAGTAGCGAAGAAGTAAACGCGGTGGCTAGAAAAGCGAGAGCGGTTGCTTCTGCAAGACTGAGCGGAAATTTGCTTTTCAACGCGTCAAAATTTGAAGGGGCTTGCGTGATTTACACGGAAGGACTTGAGAAAGATCCCTATAATGCTCTCTTGCTCTGTAACAGAGCTGCTTCAAGATTCAAGCTTGGTCTGTTCGAGAAAGCCATTGAAGATTGCACATTGGCTCTCAGTCTCCAGCCATCGTACCGGAAGGCGAGGCGGCGCAGGGCAGATTCTTATGCCAAGGTATTCAAAAGCTTAATTTAACCGGTCCGGACCGACTTAACATGTTATTGGTATTTTTTTAGTATGATATATGTAATTAGTGATAAATGTTTACTCTGTGTAAGTAGTTGGAGAAATGGCAACACGCGATTCAAGATTATGAGTTGTTGATGATGGAGACACCTGAAGACGAAGAGACTAGAAGAGCCTTGACTGAGGTGAATGTCCGGTTCAAGAAGCAGACCGGTGGAGATGTCCGGTTTAAAGGAGTCGGCTCGGATATGGTTGTGGTTAATTGAAATGGGAGATTTGGCTAAGCCGAATTGTATAGTTTTACGTGGGATTCTTTTATGATTTGATTGTCTGCGTGTTTGTTTGTTTGCTTCTTCTTTTTTGTTGCTAATTTTATCATTTTCTTTATATTAGGGCCTTTTCTGTTTTTACCATAAATTTTTGTATCAAACGGAAAATCTTATATAATAAGGGAGATGATCTTATAATTCCTCTTATAAAAAAAGACAGAAGAAACTTTGTTAATGGACATTTGACAATGATGACAGGTTTTCATCAACTATATCTCTTCTGACTGATCGTGATGTAAATCTCTATAGCATTGAGATAACTCATACATTTTTTGGCTGATGTCGCTTATTCGTTGGATATTATGATCATGGAGAAGAGATCTAACTTGCCTGTTATTGCTTGCCGTGTTCAACCTTCAGTTTGGTTATATATTAGTTTGATTCTTTGTTGATTGTGTCTCTATCAAGAAGGGCAAGAAAAATGAAAAAGACTAAGCGTGCTGCTATTTTTGGAGATTGGCAGTGAATCCGCTTGTCTAAGCTAAGCTAATACATGGTGCAAATTGAAATGTTTCTTTCCATCTGAATTTTATTATATGATATCCAATAAAACGGTACACACACCGAGTATGATCAAACATGAAATACACAAAAATATGATCTATTAAGCAGGTTTGCGTAAAAAAGTAGAAAGCCTGTACATATTTGCATTACATTACAAACGTTGTGATGGAACAAACGAAACGAAGAGGTAAACAAACAAAAAAAGACCTTTTGAGATACGAAACAAGGGAGAAGAAGAACCATGAAAAAAAAAACTCAATAAACCCAAAGAAAAAAAAAAAAAACCAGTATCAAAAATAATTGACAGATAATCAAATGTAATAAAAACGCTTGATTAGATTTTTAAAAATAGGATGTTTAATGATATGTATAATCAACTTTTCCAGCTTCGACTCCGAGACAGAGGATCTTGAATTCCGCCGACAACCCAAGTTTCCTTAGCTATGTCTGAAGAGAGTCTGTAATACTCAGTATCGTATCTCATCAACACCAATTCCATCTTCTCTTCCTCCATCAATGACCTCAAATCCTTCTTCTTTGTCTTCATATTGGTTTCTTGATCCTCTGTTTCTTTTTCCTCTTCCTCTTCCTTTTGTTCTTCTCTGTTTTCTTGCTCTGTTTTTACTTTCATTTTCTCTTCTAACCAACTCTTCGCAGGAGCTGATCTACACCGCATCAGCAAAAGCGCGTTTGGCGGCGGAACCGCTGGTTCTGTCTCTGTGTCTTCAAGATCGCGTTTCTCATCACACTTGTTGTTGTTCTTGTCGTTATCTTTGTTGCTCTGTTCCTCTTGTAAAACCATAAACCATTTGGAGAAAACAGTCTTTGAGTTCTCTTCTTCTTCTCTTTCGCCTTCTTCTTCCTCATCATCATCATCATCTTCTTCCTCATCGTCGTCGCTAGTGACATCAGCATGTCGGAAATCACCAAAACACCTGAAATCGAATTTGATGTTTCTAAGACAAGTCAAGAAACCCATCACATCTTTCTTCAATCCAAAAAACTTGCTTTGCGATCTATTATCATGTATCCTCTCAATCTCTTCCATCACCGATTGCCAATTCTTTCCTCTCCCGCCGCATTTGCTTGGCCGGACTTTGATCTGACCGGCGCAAGTTACTTTAGGAGAAGTCGGTTCGGCTATTTCGTCACCGCCCATATTCTTACTGCTTGCTTGTTTAGCCCACAAAACAGGACTACCGTGTCCTCCACCGCCGCCGGAGAGTTTACTGAGCTGGCGCCGGTGTTGGGGACGACGGTTAGTGGAGGAGTCAGAGGGACGAGATGGGCTACAAATGGGCTTAGGAGTCAGAGCTAAGTGGGCTCTTGAAGGGAAACAAACCAACAAATCTGCAGAGTAACCAGAAGAAGAAGATCCTCTGTTTCCATTGTTTCCTTTGATCATAGCTTTGTTTTAGTCTGCTTTTGTTTTCTTGGGGTTTGGTTTTTGGATCGATCTCTCAATGGAAGAGTTCAGCTTTTTATGTTTGGATTTATAAAATTCTTCTTCTTTTTCATAAAATTTCTTTTTAGGCTTTGATATTCCTGTGCTGTGACAGCTTTACATGCTTTTTGCTTTTGCGTGGAAAAAAAAAAAACTTTCTTTTTCACTAAACCCTTTTTTCAAAAAGTGAAAATAAAAATAAAAATCGGTGGTGCATCTTTACCAAATGTTTTCGTAAAATGTTTGTAAAATTGATGGATAAATATGAAGAAGAAGTGATGATGGGGTCAAAGAAGTGAAGTGGGTTCATTACAACTTTATTCAATCGTAAACAAGAAGCTTCTTGACTGAATCATTCACTTTCAAGTTTCAACATTCAATGGTAGTCACTACTTCATGTTCGTTTTTTTTGCATATGAGTTTTTTCATTATACTTTGAGATTTATATGCCAATATCAAATCATGGGTTTAAATTTATACGGTGAATGAACTAAAGACTTACTGTACCAAATGTGAAATCCATATTTGGTCAGTAACGCATGTCATAGGTGTTCGTCTAGATTTCACCTCTATAAATTCGATTTCTAAAAAATAAATGCATAGTTCTTACATTTACCGATAAATCAACCCATAATCAAATTTCAAAAGTTTGTTTTTCTCTTGATTTTGTATCAAAACAATACATGTTGTATGCATAATTACATTTATAGATGAAAATAATATATTCACACTATAAATAAAGAATAACATGTGAATGTGACAAGGGTGATGATGGGTTATAGTCGAATTGCTCAATAGATTAAAGTTGGAAAGGTTTCGTGGGCTTTACTTTTGCAATTTCATTTTAAATTGATAATATTATTATAAGATAGAAAAAGCAAAGACAATGGTATAAAGAAGAAAAAGGAAAAGATTGGAAGGGCACGAGGCTTGTTTCTTAAACCAATGGTACTCACAAGCTGTGTGGTCACATTTCCCTTTGTTGTTGTTATCTTCAACCATACAATCATCAATATTCAGTTGCCATCTTACGATTTTAACTACCTTCTAACTATATCACCAAACTATATATTATAGCATCAAATGACAATGAAACTCAGGAGTGCAAACGATTTAGGGATGTGAATGATGTGATCAAGTATAGTGTATGGTGAAGGTATGTGACATGAGGCATGAATTGTTTGATATGATTGTTATTTTACAATCGAAAAACATCATTGCAGAGATAAATGTTCTGAAAACCAACCAAACAAAAAAGTTGTGGTTCCACTTCAGACAGTTTTATTTCTCTAATATTCTACAGTTTCACCATTCAAATCATCACAATATTTATGGTAAGTTGCTAATTACACTTCATCAACATCAAGTAATCTCTATCGTCAAATCATCACAATATTATGAGAATCTCTAATGCTTTATTCTCTATTTGGTGCTAAACTCATTGTAGTTACCTGTCTTTTTATTGTTCAAGACATTTGTTGCGTGGCTTTAGACAAGTTCCGATTCTTAAATAGGAGATTTTCCTTTATGATGGTCTTGTTCTTTTTTACTTTTCACAAATAGAACACGAGAAAATGAGTTTCTAAGTTCCTATACTTTAGATTAAAACGCAATATTATGATTTTAGTGTCATGCTTCTCACACAAAACTAAATTTTCACAGGTACAGTTCATAGTTGTGTCTTTTTGGTTTGGATGTAGCTCTCGCTCCAGCTTTAGGTTTATTAAATTTTCTAGCATTTTTCATGAAACACGCTTGCTTTAATCGTTAATTCCCATCCAAATTAAAACATGTATAAAATGGACGTTTTGGATCTTTTTTTTTTTTTTTTTTTTTTCTTCTGACGTTTTGGATCTTTGGTTAGAGAAACATGTATAACTTATTAGATTGTTTGACATGCCTTTTAAAATACACTTTTACCTCTCTTTTTTTGGCAGCAAATACACTTTTATGATTTTATTTAACTAAACTAACTTTGATACTTTGATATTAAACAACAATTTTGGCAAATTTGCCTTTTGGCCTTCATCGAATTGAGTAATTATGAAAGTCGAATTTTTCACTTTAATTCACGTGAAATGGGTAAATTTACCAATTGTGCGCTAATTGCGTTCATCTCTTTAAAGTAATACAGTTTAGAACTGTTGGAATATATATATATATATATATATATATATATATGTGCATTTTCAAAAATACTTAAATAAAAATAAACCATCAGACCCCAAATATTAAAGGATGGAAAAACTAAAAGTTAGGTATGTCTTATCATGATAAGTTGCATCACCATTGAGGTAGGTCTTAAGCACTAGAGAAAACTTTATATTTAACAGTTAAGTAGCAATTTCAAAACTTTATAAATAAATAGAGAAAGGAAGAAATAATTTTTTAATCAAATTTCATAAAGCTAAATTTATGTAGATTGAAGATACTGTTTGATTTAGTTGTACCCCAATCCTTGTGAATGAGAGCGACAATATTGAGAAATCATGTGGGTAGGTCTTCTGCACAGAGAGACTCACTCGAAAAAAGTTAGGCAATTTACATTTTCTCTTTTTTTTCACAAACTTGTCTTCTCAAATCACAATGAAACATATTTAATTACAGATAAGGTTAATTATGAAGAAGAAAAAAACATGATAAAATGTGACAAAAAAAAAGCCTACAAGTATGAAAATTGTATTCCGTAACACTTTCAACTAGCAATCAAAGTTTTTAAGTGATGCATCATCATTCATCCTACCTATAAGCTATGGTTGGGATTCACTCTCTAATCAAGTTTACATATGTGAGATATTTTGTTTTATTTGATTTAAAGCACATATATTTGTCATTGAAATATAAGCTAGGACCACCATTTTTGTTTATGGACCACAAATCTTTGATTAATTTATGGTTTAATGAAACTAACACCTTAAATACTTTCTTTCTCCGCACTCTGTCTCCTTTTACATATTTATAATAATGTTAAGAAATATATTAGTGACCTAATCAGTAACATCCTTTTGATCATGATAGTGATGATACCACTCAATGGAATATTAAACAATGTGTTTATACTTCATAATGATATCAGATCAATTAATTTATAGATCTTTATTTTATCCAAGAAAGGTTGATAGAGACATTGAAATGTCGAACTAGAACTCACAAACTGAAAGTTGAAAGAGATGTGGTTTAGTTTTCTTTTGCGGATAGAGATTTTAGCGGGCCTTGATGGGCTTCAAATCGGATCCAATAGGCTTGGAATTTGCAAATTGCTTAATTATTAATTGTTTTTATTCCATTATATCCACCTTTTGAAACAAGCTATAACACATTTTTTAATTAGATTTGAGATATAGTAATGGTATTAAATTTTATAAATTATTGCTATTAATTTATTCGTACGAATCATATCTATATATTATATTAGAAGCTGCAACGCATTTAATGTAGTAATCATATGATATTAGAGGAATAATTCGGATTTGATGTCATTTGACCCAAAAGTCGTACGCCGATAGTACAGTCGGCTTTGTACGATGCGTATGTATATACATAAGAAAAGGGCCGAACAAACAAAAGCCCAAAAAAAGCCCATTAGGCCTTAGAAAGAATTCATCTCTAACACATTTCTCCTACGCTTGAGCAACGCCGTAACAGCTTCTCCGTACATACAATCACCGCCATCTCCGGCGAACGCCTCAGTCACCAGCTCAACATCGTTATCATCGGAAGCCAAACCAGTCGGCCTTACGACAACAAGCGTCGCGGCTTCAAGACAAATCCCGCTCTTCAGCATCAGCGACGGCGCGTGTCTCATACTCATCCTCACGCTAGGAACCACAGTGCGTTCGCCCACGCGCTCTAATGTTTTATCATCTCCACGCGCCTCCGTCTCTCTGTATTCTTTCATCCCTGCCGCGTCCATCACCACCGTACCTTCACCTTCTCTGTCACGCACAATCAGTTTCTCCATCTCTTTGTGATCTTTCACCAAATCTCTCATCAAGTAATGACGCGTCGAAGCCGCCATCAACGCGCTGATCGTCCACACCACGCGCGTCTTCAATCCACAAACGAACTCCGAATCAGACTCCACACCACCGTCGACGACGGCGGTAGATTCCGTCACTGCTGAAGTATTAACCGTCGCGGAACGGAAAGCAACGATGACGCAGCTTTTGAGAGTTTTTCCGAACTCAGCCTTCCACTTAACGGCGGCGCCTTTCTCGAGCTTAACATCGCCGCCGTATAACTCCACCTCCAGATTCCGGATCCGTTCAAATCCGGCGAGAATCTGAGCCGGAGTTTTCGGAGATCGAGTTAGGATTTCGTCAGTGTTAGCTGGTTTGGAGAATATAGGAAGGAGACCGTGAATGGATTTGAACAGAGATCGGAAGAAGCTAGCGATCGGAGAATCAATCTCGGAGTCAGATTCGGTGGCTCCGAGGATCTGATCGAGTTGAAGAAGGAGCGAGTCAGACTGAGTGGCTAACGAGTTGAATCGTTTGGAAACGGAACGACATCGTATTAACGTTTTGACGTCACCGACTTTGTTCAAAATGTCGATGACCACAGGATCTGGAATCGCATCAAAAGCGTCCATGATTCTCTTTTTCTTTGGTTTTACTAAAATACCCTTTTGAAACCTTCGGGACTGTTTAGAGAGTTCTCTCACTTTGTGTTTCTTCTTTGTGTTATGAGCTGTGTAGAGAGAGTATTTGCGACTTTAAATAAGGAAACGAGAAATGGAGAGAAATGATTTTATTTCCGGCATGTAGGACCATAATTGCCGTCGGTATAATGATATTTTAATTAATAAAGAACATTAAGTACGGCTTTTTCGAATTTTATATGAGTGCTTTGATAATTAATAAGGAGACATCAACGATTGTGATGCTCTCTATCCGGCGACATCGTCCTTGATCAACGGTCCAAGCTGCTTTAACGTATTTTTTTATTAAATCATCACGGTCCATACTGGAGGAAAATAATTGATTTAAAAAATATGAATTGTATATGGAGACCACAGCTTTAAATAAACTTTTTTAAAATTTTCTTGAACATATATTTGTATGACTGATGAATAATTCGATGTCATAACTGAATAAATGAATCGATATTAGTATAATTTAATAAATGAGTAAATGTTGTTTAACTAATAGAGTGATTATAAATGTTAACGACTTTAGACTCTCAACTTAAAAGTCTTTCTGTTGAAAAGAAAATGAATAACTACATAAGTATTTAACTTCAACGAATAATTAAGAGTATCAAATTTTAGTTCGAACGTAACACCCTTAGCAATTTTCGATATTCCAAATCATTTATTGTTTGTTAATTTCCAAGACTCGGACCAAAACAAAAAAAAGGTTTCACGAAAAACTATCTTTGATTAATTCAAGTTTTCAACAGCCAGTTTTTGTCTTTGTGTTTGCATTGACATGTAGAAAATGAAATTACCGATGGTCACTCTAATTATTATCTATGTCTAATGTTTATGTTTATTATTATCGAACTATATATTTAAAATGTAAAAACAAATTGTACAATAGAAATGAACAACCAATCGAAACCTCCTGCGAAACCCTGTTCTTTTACAACACAATTGTTCACGAGGATCATCATCGTTCGTACACTTCTGTTGCATTTGTACGGAAAGGACAGCTTCACATGCAAACCATGTAAGACGGCACTCTCTATCTCTCTGCTTTAGCATTGATGGATCATCGTTATAAGGGAACAAACCAAAAACAGTGTATTGTCTACTTGTTTTTGTCTCTGTCTATTTGAGAGTAGAAAAACTGTCTTATTAAAGCTTTAAGGGCTTGTGAAATTGAGCTTCAACACAATTTTAGTGAATTTTCTAAGATGATTATCGGGAGAGACTTTACGCTAGAAGCCGAAGTCGAGATAAATAAACATTCACTAAACCAAATTATTAAAACTCTTTAAACATTACGGTTTTCTCATATGTGTATGTCTAGGTTCATTCTGACCTTATTGTTAAATAGTACTATTATTTTTTGTTAGTTTAAGGCAACAAAATTTGTTTATTAGTTTTCTCTACATATGTTACCATTATTTTGAAATATATTGTGCTCTCTTTATTTTATTTAAATATATGTAAAGCTCGAGTGATGGTGAGATTAAGTTGGGACAGGTTGTATTAATGCTTTTGTCTTCTGAGATAATGCATGGATTTGGGAGTTGTTGTGGCATATCTTGTCACACGTCCTTCCATGGAGATCCATACATCATACGCATAATCTAGTGGCTGAGTAGAAATGTCTTACTCACGAGTCATTACTCATCACAATAATTTAGATATATTGTTAAATCAACTATGGTCATTGAGTTAATATGACAATAACATCATAATAAAAGTATAGTGTTATTTGTGGTAATGCTATAAAAGCTATTGTTATGTTTGAATTAGAAACTCAAATTAAGAAAGCATTTAACGTTGTTAATGTAGATTACATTCCCTTTGTTTAGACATTTGTTCATAGATTTAACTTATTTTGACAATTCAGTTTGTTAATGATCAATGCAAAACTGAATTAAGCCATTAATGCATGTGTTTAAATGTGGACTAATACTCCTATGCCGCTAGGGAAAAAAAACGATTCAAAGTGTATAGTTAGATTCACTTGAAAATCGTTTATTCAATGTTTACTTGTTGATTTTTTCTTTCCCGTAACAAATGCATACACAATTTGTAGCTGAAAGAGTCAAAAAAAAATTCCATTTAGGTTGAAGAGAAATAAAAGAGAATCAAATCAATGAGAAATATTATTGGCACGGAAAACAATGCCATTTTCCAAAGGTTACGCGATTGCCAAAAACACATCTTTCTTGGAGAAGATAACAAAAGGTACGGTTCAATTTCCAACATTTATTTTTGTCTCTTTTTTTTTGCCTATTTTTGTCTTTGTTGATTTATTGTCTGTCACAGGCAACTTGACACTGTCTTCCAAATTGTTTACGTCTATGAATAATTTCAGCTTTAATGTATACATTGTCCGTTCTCTAAGACAACTATGAGAGAGCGAACCTGTGGAATTTAAAACCAGAGATTCTTTCAACTAGAGAATAATCCATTGAATTTCAAATCGAAGGTTTTGTTGAAACTAAATTCTTAATTGGCAAAAAAGGACAGAAAAAAAAAAAATTCTTAATTGGCTAAGCCAATGGTATATAACTATATATATATATATATATATGATGTACAATGAAAATTACGACATTGTGTTTATAACTTTTTTTTATTTATATTAATTTCATTTTTAAAAAGGAGGAAAGCTACTGCTAAAAATAATAATTCCTTAAAATTATATCATATTTAGTTGATAGAAATTTTCCCTCAATTAAAAAAAAAAAAAAATCCTCTCCCATTTTAGTAATTTACTAAGCCGATATTAATAATTTAAAGAAAGTGGATAGCGCTTATACTAATTTAAATTTTGGGGGACAAGTGGACAACTCACCCGTGACAACGACCAAAAAAATAGATATAAAAAGATCTTAATCATTGGTTTATTGTGTATCATTCATTATTGAGAGTATTTGATTATTAGATTCTTTATATTCGGAACGCACAGCTAAGCTAAAATAATTTAAAATAAAATCTGAGAAATAATTAAACTTATCAAAGTCGCCAGTTGGAAAACTTGGAATCATGGTTTAGTTAGGCTCTGAATGATAATTATAAGAGAAATGTGTAAATGAAAAAAAAAAATAGAGAACAACAGTGTAGTTAAGGGTATTTTCCAGAAAAATATATGAATTAATTAATTAAAAAACTATAGTCATTTTTACAAATATAAACCAGAAAAAAGTATTGAGTACTCTTAATTCATCCAGCTCTAATTAGTGGTAGCAGATCAACACTATTTGGGCCTAATATTCATTTCTTCGATTTCTCTTAGTTACGGTACAGTTATTTTATACAATTCGAATACGTTCGAATCGTTTCATAGCCAATCTGTAATACCAATATTGATGATTTGTTTGGCCCATTTCTTTTTACACCAGGCCCGTTAATTAAATTTAAGGCCTTATTGACTAAACTTTTTAAAGGTTTTTTTGTAAGATGCGAGTCATGTGACTTATTTACTCTTAACGTTTTGCTACACAAACAATAAAAATAAAAGGAACAATATAAAATAAAATTTATGAAAATAGACTATCTGAGAAAGGTGGAACGAGTTTTTCCATATGGTAATTACATTCAACTTGCAGTAATATTCAACTGAAACGATATAAATATTCGTTACTCCATTAACTCTTACTTATTTTTGTATAAAAGCACTTTTTTTTTTTTTTTTTTTTTTGATAACCCAGTATCCAGACCACACAGTGATCTGACTAGCCCACTGGGCCTAAGCCCGCGTCACAGGGATTTTTAAGCCTCCACTTAAGGGCCCCCTGATAAACTGGTGGTCTGGGGCGCCTGAGCAAGTCCGCAGGTAAATTCTCAGGTGGCCACAGGAGTGAGAGAGCGAAACTGCGTCTGGGGAGGATCGATCCCTGGCCTAGACCAACAGGGCGATCCTTCCAACCAAACGAGAACCACTTTAATCTTCTAATTTGTTAGTTGGAATCTAATAACCTATATCAAGTACTAGTATATATAACAATAAATAACCAGTATAATCATATATCCGATCTAAGCAACTAACCCTATAACTCTAGCTTCTATAAACGTTTATTATTATTATCCTTTGTCCAATACCTTGCAATAAAGATTATAAAACCTGAAAGCGGGTAATTATTGGGACGAAACTAAATCTGCTCCCTAGTTTAAGATCACTAAATCACATGGTCTGAAATCTTAATCATCCAATCAAAGATTAATCTTTTAGTAAGTACTTCAAAATAATGTATAGTACACAAATTTTCTCGAAGCCTAAAGCCTACAACATGGGAGAAGCAAATAGAGAAGAAAGAGGACGGGACCATTATGGTGACACGTGTGTGCTAAAAAACCTGTATTATTGCCTCACTAATCGTAATTAATTCATTTTGAGAATCTGATTAATGGTCCCCGTTACCTTTTTAAGATGCTTTAATTGGTTCCTTATAGCTTTCACATGATGGGGTTTAACCGATTAAGCTGTAGTTAAGGTATATATACATAACAATTCTTAAATGGTTGGTGTTAATTAAGGGATACATCAAACAATGAATCAGTTTGTCAGTTGTCACTGCTCCAAGAAGAAGGATTTAGGCCACAAGAAACACTTATAAATTTATTTAATTCTTAACATTTGCAAGCACCCAAAACAAATTAAAAAGAATTAATTATGAGCTTGCCATTTTTTGGAGTAATATGTATAAGTTTAGTCGGTTCCATTTGTTTTAGGATTTAGTATTTGTTATAAAGTATGTATTTTAGCCAAAAAAATCTTAAATTTAAACATATTTATGTGTTAAAAATGGCAAATTCATAAAATTTAAGAGGAAGTGACATATTCGTAAGATTTACCTAAAAATGACATTTTCGTAAGAATTCCAACAAAAAGGTATTTTTATAGATATGTTAACATTTTCCATTTAGTATTCGATATAATTCTAGATCGGTCTCAAGACTCTCATCTATTGTTGGGAAATTTTTAGCATTTGAAGATTTCAATTGGTCTTAAAAAATGAACTATCATAATAGTTGTTAATTTGGGACACAGATCCAAAGAATAACAC